ACGGAGTAATGACCGCCGCATCGAGGGTCGGGCCCATGAGTAGATGCTGGCTGCATTTAGAGAAGTTGTTCGCGTTCCTCCTTGCTGTTCCTGGACAGGTTAAGATCATGGACGGGTAACATTATTATTATCGAGTCTCCGCGGAATGACCCTAGCCCACCAACTGCCAGCATTCACAGTACAATTTCCTGTTTTCATCTCGAGTCACAACCTGTGTAGATGGAGCTTAACAGATAGGATACATCAGACCCAAGTTCTAACGGGCGGACATAACCGACACTCTTTGTAGACCCTCACCTGGGACCACTTTTTCCAGCCGCATTGTTTACTACTACTACGTCTCTCCAAGTCTAAATTCCAACCACCCACAGCATATAGCGTACGTCAGAGTCCCCAAGAAACACATGGTACTCCAGATAGTAGTAATCATGGTACTCTAGAGTGGTACTGTAGAACAGTAGCAATAGTGGCATCTCCATGGTTCTCCACTTTCTGACTTCAACCTTGGAACTTACTTATTTCTATTTTATGGATCAATTAGATATTTAAACCAACAATAGTAATTGACCCAGTGACCATTATTATTATCCCCCCGCTTAGTCGTGTCGAAAAAGGGGGGAACAAATGAAATCTTCGAAATAAGTAATGAAAGCTTGTCTAGGAGAGAAAGAGTCCTAACGAGCTGGGCTGGGTTACACCCGGGTTTAAGGGAAAAGTTGACTCGGAATCCATGAATGCCGGCGTTTTAATTGGTTCGGAGGGTAATTACCGTACTTTTTCTGTTTTTTTGGTGGTCTGGGTCGAGATGGGATGTATTATTGCTTGTTAAGTTATAGTTACTCTGTAGAGTTGAGGTTAATAGTTATTATGAGTCTAAAAGTATATGGGGAAAATAAATTAGAATAGTTAAGAATATAAGGATCAAGAGTAGCATGATAATATTAACTAAGTTATCCTTGGATTTCTCAGTATGTGTATCTAGCTAGAATGCAAAGACTTTTCTTTCTTTCCCTACAAGTGTATTCTATACATACGTCGACTGGAGCGAATATCAATGCTGAATGAATAGTTAGTTAAACTGTTATCACTGCAACTGTTATCATTATATATTATGAAACGAACACTCTACACCAAGGTGGGAAGTAAAGGATAATAATAATAATCACAGAGTACGCACAACCCGACCGCGTAACTCTCATTTAGTTACATCTACATAAACGAGTCTAGAATCTCAAGTTTTAAAAAAAAAGTCGGAATACGTCGTTGCCGGACAACACGGCCCGTGCGGTGGTATAATGCATTGCCGGTGCTCGTCTCCGGGGAGGTCGGGACTAGGATTATTGATAATTATTAACTATTAACTATAAGATATAGTAATCCGTTTCATTCTGACTATCAATGACCTGCATGTCGGGTAGATTGGCGCCAGGACTAGTCCCGTTTCTGTTCTTTCTGCCGAGATCAGATTGTATAGATAGAGGTAGATTATAAATGGTCACTGTTATTATTAAATTAAATGTATCCTGGACTGGACCGTGTCATATTAAACTACCCCCCGATGGGAGCCAGAAGGGGGCAGATTCACGGATTATCGAGACGAGCTCTCGCTGCTCTGCTCAGAGATGATAGTGATACGGACCTGTGCGGGTGGCTTAAAATAGCGGCAGTCCGAGCGTACGCATGGACCAGCAAGAGAGAGCTGCAGGGGAAAATTGAGAACTAGACCTAAGATGCCTGGGTCTAGGCGATGGGTTGTAAGAATCAGATCGAGTCGGTGCTTTGCCTAATAGAGGGTGTGGTTCACAGTGCACTGCGTGGACTTTGCACTTGTGGCGGGTGCTGGGAGAAGGTAATAAACTGGGCCTTTAGGTCTGAGCGTTCGACGGAGGGTTCAGGCCAGTGGGGACCAGGCAGTGTTCCTGGCACGGTTGGTGGTGCGTATGGTAGATGAGACTCTGTCACTGGGGGGGGCTAATACTTTTTCATGAGAAAAGAAAGGGTCCAGATGCTTGGTAGGATATACTCAGATGAAGTAGTTGGCGTTGTGGTGTGGCCAACGAGATGCTATAGACGATAGCCATCGGAAGTTTAATCGATATCCCCGTCGTTGAGCTCGTGGCCCTACAGTCCAGAACAATGACCGTTGTGACTTCGACGTTGGGTCCGATCGACGCATCTGCAAGATCGTCGCGTGCTCCTGGCGAGTCAACGAGGGTGATATCACATCCCTGCTTGTCTGTCGGCCGGGTAATGATCTCATGCGACTCGATGGAAGCAAAAAGCAAGTTGGGAACGCAGTGTTTCTTGAAAGAAAGAAAGAACAGTGCAGTGATGATTATAGACGCATGGACATCATTGTTCGTCAGAGCGCTCGTCAACAGAGACAAACAACAACAATAATAATAATAGTGATACTCTATTCCGGCAGTGGACATTACTCGTCGGCTAAGTGGTAGTGCGCATCTAGTGGTAATATTGCGGATCCGCAGGACGGGAGAGTATGGTTATGGTATATAACTCGATGGACGTATCAGGGAGCAAAGATATAGGCGAAGCAGCAGTTTGTTGGAACTAGTGCTAGGCTACCAGTGGATGCCTCTATGAACGGGCCTTATACCTCTTGTAGACCAGGCTTTTCTTCGGGATGGCACTGAGCTGCAGGCGTTATATTATTGCCTGCTGTTTCATGCTGCTAGACCGTCTGCAAGAGCAATAATCTACGGCGCAGCAGTAGCAGCAGCCACCTCGTGCAGGGGAGGAATGCTGAGGAACGAACCTACGGAGTAGGGTTGTTGTCGTTGTTATCGAGATAATGGTGGGGGAAAAGACAGCGGGGCCGGAGATGAAGGAACAAGTTCCAGACTCGGGAGGCGGACAGGATAATGTACCTGTCAGAATGTGTTGACGGGTAGACGAAGCGATGGGAAGGCAGGTTTCTGCTGTAATCAACACAACATAGTTAAATCCTGAAGGAGAAGAAGAATAAGAGAGGCACAGGATCCCAAGCCGTATACGGAATCAGCCCGAGTGGAACGGGCGTTCGATACGAAACATGCTGACTTGTGGCGGGCAAACGAACGCCCGGAGAGGCGAACCGATCGGTGCCTTCGCCACTTTTGCTGCCACGAGGTGGAAAGTCAGGGAGATGGACCCATTATGATGGATACGGGCTGAGGATGGCTTGCTCTATTATTCGAGTGCATCTCTGCTCCTCAGATATAGTATTATTGTATGTATGTATATACATACAATAACTGATCTTCTCTTCTCTAATGAACATGCCATAGAGATTCCTTGAAACACTGACAGGCGGCAACGGAGAGAGCGAGAGAAACCAGACGGTAATTGATTAACGATACCGTTTCATTTCCAGGATGTAAGATGACCAGAGTAGAGTCTGGTATGTAATTATCATGGAAGTTCCATGCAGCCTTCTTCTGCTGTATTACTTCCTGACTCCCCGACATCCCACCCCCATCGGCCGCACAACAAGGCTGTCGCACCAAGGCAACTCGCACGCATCGCATCGCATTGCATTGCTGGCCTTCTCACGATGGATTAACTTAACTTCAGAGAGAGTCAACCCAACTCAACCCTCCGGCCCCCCTTCTCCAACACACTAGTTAGCCTGCACGACAGAAACGACTAACGGGCCTGTCTCTCCCCACCGAGCATCGATGACCACGGGCAGTGCTGCCTTTTCCACGGCCGAATCAGCCTGGCGCAACCACCACCCTCGATGTTCGAGAAGACCTCCCGCTCTCTCCATCGAAACTCTGCCGGGGATGTTCTGGGCTCGTCCGGAGATCTTACAGTATGACAGGAAGAGGGGTCTATAGGATCATAGGGTGTGGTTATTCTGACATCTCCAGAACCAGGAGAGAGCCAGTAGTTAGTAGAGTAGAGTAGAGTAGAGTATAGTTCAATCAACCAGACGCTTTGACTCGACTACTGTCTGGTTCTGTTGACGCACTAACTCGAGCAACCAAGTCTTTTGATGTCCGCGATCCCCTTCGTCATACCCGGGAGATCCTTCGGTGGTCCATCCTGTCTCCGGTGACGACTTGCGCCGCTTACGATCCTGCCGTCATGGCCAGTCTTTTATTTCAGCTTGGAAAGAAAAAAGAGTCGTCAATTGTTCTTCCTTTCTTTCATCTTTTTTTCCAGCCTGTTTACTCACTTTTATTACTACGTACAATTTAATTCCTCCTGCTCCCGCTAGTCTTGCTAGTATAGCGTGCATCTGTGCCCGACCAGCCGGCACGGTGGAAATAATACAGAGCCAACCAAGCCACCTAGAACGAACTAACTAACCACTTTGCTTTACTACTCGAGATCCCTGGCTGCGTGGAGCTCTTGTCCGCACTCGTTCTAGCCTCGAAGGCGTTAAAAAAGAATCTCTGACTAGGGCCGACAAGTGCGTCTGTTCCGTACCGGTACGCACCGTTTTTTAACTTACCCTCCACCGTGGAAGCCGAAAAAAAAAAGAGGCGCCCCAGTGCGGGCACCGTCCGAAGACAAGCACAAGAAAGAGAGTAGTGAATGTGAGAGAGAGAGTCAGAGAGTGAGAGAGACCAAGAGCCGGTAATTTAATTTAATCCAATTAATTTACTTATGCTTGACTGGCTCACTCACTACTGACTACTTACTCTCCTCTCTCACTTTCCAGCGCGGAGAGGCGTCAGCACCTTTGGGCGGGACGGTAAAAAGGAATTGCTCTCCCCCTCCTCATCCCGGCCGGTGTTGATCCCGTATTATTACTTACTTACTTGCTTGCTTTTACTACTTACTATTGTTCCGCTGGTCTCGCCCTTTTGGATTCCCTGTTATTTTACAAAGTCTCTCTCTCCCTCTCTCTCCTACACCAGACAACACCACAACCGCAACATTCCCGCCTGGCCATGTCCGGGGCGGATGGAGAGCGTGGGGGAACCGAGACCATTTGCAGCACCACGGCCGCCTTTTCCTCGTCTTTCTTCCCTCCAAGCACCTCGACCTGGATGGCCGATCTCTCTTCTTCCCAATTCCTTCCTTCTTCCCCTTCGTCGTCACAGGAATTGTCTCTCGATTCCTCCTTCACGCCGTCCGACCTCAGTCGACCAAACGACAAGCTGGAGTTCCCAATCGCTGCCAGTCTCGCCCGCGGGGGGTTGCCCGACTCCGTCTTCCCCGACTGGAAGCATGGCAACCCCCGGGAGGGCCTCGAGGATCCGGATGAGATGCAGAAGAAAGACCCTCTGGCCACGCAAATCTGGAAGCTGTACACGCGCACCAAGACCCAGCTTCCAAACCAGGAGCGCATGGAGAATCTGACCTGGCGGATGATGGCGATGAGTTTGAGGCGTAAAGAACGTGAGGCTCGGTATGTATTATTCGCACTCGAAAGCTACGTGCAGGACGCTAGTTCTTGTGCCTGCTATCTATCATCTCTTATCTTTCTGCTCGTCGTGCGCACCGGCCCTTCTTGTCTCTCCCCTCTTTCCCTCTTTTTTCCTGTGCTCTCTTCCTCTTTCTGCTGCCTTGCAACCGCCTAGGAGGGTTGGCTGACTTGGGTGGGTTTCATCAGACTGGCCCAGCAGAAGAGAAACAGCATTGACCACAGGAGCACCGCCAACACCTCCACACCGGGCGGGATCTCACAGCTGCGGAAGTCGCTCGACCACACAGCGACCAACGCTGGCAACAGTAACAACGAGGAGGCGGATCCTATGAACCTGGACGACTTCATAATCCCCTCCTCGATCGGCTCTCCCTCTGGCATCCCGGCTTCTCCGTCGGCCGACAAAGGCTCGACATCCGACAACGCCGTCGCCTCCGCCATCCCCATCAAGGGTCGAAAGGATCAGGCGACCGCGTCGCATGGGCCTCTGGTTCCTGCGTCGTTACCTCACCCGCCTCAAGACCAGCGCAAGAACGGGGAATTCAGCTACGTCCAACGACGGATTCGCAAGACCAGTGTCGACGAGCGGAAGGTGAGCGGCAACCCCGTCGTGAAGTGGACGGGGATCCTGGATTCTAACACAAATGACAAGACTCGCAAGCGTCCAGCCGAATCTTCTCCTCAGGTCCCCCCGGTCTCCAATCTGATGATCCCCGTCGACGCCGACTTCGACTCTGGAATGCCGGATTACCAGCTCGACCAGCCTCACTCCGCGTACTCTACCAACAGCCACACTTCGCCGGGTGTGCCTTTCAACCTGGATACCTTCCACTTGAATGACGACCCGATTTTGACTTCGGCTGGTCCGTACCAGCACAACTTCACCTTCTCCCCCACGGACTCTCCGATGGCAAGCGGAGGACCATTTGCTAATGTCTACGCCAACACCCCCATGGGCTCTTCGCTCAACTCTACCGATTTTTACTCTCCTCCTCCCTCCGGCTATCAGTCGGCCGCCTCGACTCCTCAGCCAGGCTTCGATAATGAGCACTCTATGTACTTTGAGAGTTCCATAGATGCCCGTACTCAGCATCGGGTCCCTAACTATGCTTCTCACCGATCCTCCAACCTTTCGTCCTCCGTGCAGCCTCGCTATATGTTCAATACCAACAATGACCAAGGGTTTAACTCCTTGAGCGGTCCACCCTCGAACATCCCGTCTCCAGGCTTCTCCATGCCGCAGCAGCATGTCGACCCGTCTCGCGTTCTGGGTCGTGGTGACTTCTCGGCCGGTCCGTCCCATCATGGCTTGAACTTAACCAGCAATGACAATATGTTCACTTTCGGTGCAGACTCCGACAACGAGGATGAGGATGGCAACGCTTTCTCTGACCGCAACATGAACATGCACACGGATTTCAACTCGGTCGATGATGCTTCCCTCGACCTGAACACGGGGCTCCAGTGGGATGCTCACTTTGGCCAGTTCAACTCGATGCCTACTTTCAACGGCCAGCACAGGAAGCATATCACGATTGGCGGTGACATGATGGATCAGTCGAGAGACTGGAACCAGGGTGGCAGTCTCGGCCGGACTCACGGATCTGCAGCATCCGTGAGCGAAATCCGCAACCGTGAGCAGGATCCCCGCAGGCAGAAGATTGCCCGCACCATCTCCACCCCCAATACTACGCAGCTGCTTCATCAGAGTATGAACAACCAGTCCCTCACCTCACCCAACACGCCGCCAGAATCCGGATTCAACAGCACTGCTCCTTCCCGGCCTGCCAGCCCAGGAGGCTCCAAGAACGGCGAGCAGGGCAATACGCCCACTACCTGTACCAACTGTTTCACGCAGACAACACCGCTATGGCGTCGCAATCCGGAGGGCCAGCCTCTTTGCAACGCCTGTGGTCTTTTCCTGAAGCTGCACGGAGTGGTGCGACCTCTTTCCCTGAAGACGGATGTGATTAAGAAGCGCAACAGAGGTAGCGGTAACAGCTTATCTGTTGGAGTCTCTTCAACCCGCTCGTCAAAGAAGGGCAGCAGGAAGAACTCGGTCGCCCAGGCTCCTCTCACGACGCCCACCTCGGGCAAGCCGCAGAGCGCGACAGCGTCGGAATCTCCGCCTTCCATGCAAGGCTCCAGTGGATCTACAGCCGGAACTACTCCGACTAGCTTCCAGGGCTCCGGCAAGGGTGGTGTTGTGCCCATCGCGGCGGCTCCCCCGAAGCCTGCCCCTTCGAACGGTGCCAGTCAAAGTCGTGCATCCGTCCAGGTAGCCCCTAAACGTCAACGACGACTGGAAAAGGGCTCGACCAGTTCATTGCAGGAGGGTGATGGTGAAGACAAGGGAGCGTCGAGGTCCAAGGTCGTGCCGCTTGCCCCAGCAGTGCAACCAGCGGCAGCCAACCCTGCGAATCACAGTCTTGCTGCAGGCCAAGGTGGCAGTCAGGAGTGGGAGTGGTTGACCATGAGTCTGTGATTCATGAGCGCGGTGTATCATGGGAAGGTCCGCGATGACACAGACAGAGATTATTAGAGTGGGTGATGCATATTTGTGTGTCCGTGGTGATCGGCATGGAAGCGTTGGAAGCGACAGCGCTCTACTATAGATTTGATCCTGGCTTCGGGTTTCGTGCGTTTACGTTCGGTTGCGGGACACCGCAGCCGGGAGGAGTACGATACGGATTTGATCTCGGTTCGTTAATTTTTTTTGTTCTTTTCCTTTCGCTATTGGGACCGGATCTTACGACGCCTGACACGAATTGTTATGTCCTGTGGGAAATGGGTCTTACTGCTCTGGGTTGATTTCCTCGCTGGGTTTTCTCTATTACCTCTTACCTCATGCTCACGTACTTATGATGGACCGCGGCTGTATGTCGTCGATTGTCTTCCGACTTTGCCCCTCTCCGATCAAGCCTTGACCGTCTATTGTGCGGTCATGGGTGAATATGATGAACGCCTTGTTTGGTTTGGTTTTCTGTGTCTGATTTGAGTGCTTTTTGATTGATACAACCGCGTCTGTTCCGGTTACTCAGCCCAATTTTCAGTTTTGTTTTCATTTCTGTTTTTGTTTTTCCTTTCGCTAATACACGTGGTTATTGTGGGCTGGGGACCGGGCAGAAGTGCGCATCTCGTCTTTTTATTGTTTTTTATCTGTGCTGGTTTATGTTTGGTCGGATTTTCGCGCGTATGTCAATTATCCGCTTCTTGTGGCCGATGGATACTGGTAGTTTTCAAGAAGTGGAGCGTGAGACTTGCCGTGGCAGGGTAGATTGCTCGCTATCCGATCTGGAATATATGTTATTGCTTTAATCTATGATTTAAGAGTCACTTCTGGTATTGTAATTTCCAGCTCTAAGGTTCTCAGCAGTGAGTGGTGCAGATGAGTATTACATTGAGTAGGTCCTTGACGATCGACAATAGTAGTCTGCTACATATACGCTGATATCTAGTCATGAGCCACAGCACCCCACATCTACCAACGATCCATGTATATACTGTCAGCGCATAAATCGTACGTCTAGGTTATCTCTCAGCCATCCGTTTACAGCAGGTTCAAATCAGACTATGCTTCCGTGCCATTATTATTCGACATATGTTTAGACCCTGGCCTGCCGTATGATCGACACCCAACCCTAAACACCGTAATAGCATTCTCTCTTGATGATAACCTCTATCTCCAATAACCAACACCCTTCTCCTCCTCTACCCGTTCCCTACCCTCCTCTCCCCCAAAGTCTAGTTATTTAAACATACCGTGACGTCCCCATTGTATAATTTCCCATGACATCATGCACACCACCACCGGAAGGCAAAGGCGAAAAAGGAGGGAGGCGGTATTGCCGTGATTATTTCAATTTAGACCTGACTTGACTGACTGACTGACTTGATCCATCTGAGATCCAATATCGTGTTCAGAAATTCCGAATCAACACCAAGACAAGCAAGACACGAGTTTTTGGTGTGTTTACTTGAGAAGAGAAGATAGATACAAGGACATAAGATATTATATTTTTATCTCTGATAATATCCATCATGGCTGGAATGCCGGTGAGTTGGATCTCTATATTTATTTTATTATGTATTGTGCTATTTCTTCAAGTTTCATCGATCAATATGGGATTCAGGATTGGGAGAGCAAGATAACAACGAAATCTTGAACTATAATACTAACACCACTTTGGGATACCCAGAGAGGCGACTCAGACATTGCTCAACGTATGTATATACACACCCCCATTCCTCCCTCCATATCTTCCCATCCTCAACCCAACCCAACCCATCCACTAATAAAAAACAAACAAACAACAGAAGCAACAGATCCCATAACACCCACGATCCACAACGACGACGACACCTACTCACCGTACAATAAAGCGCGCCAATCCGCCAGCAGCATGAGAGAGAAAATCGCAGAAGCGTTCCAACCGGGCGATAATAAGGCCACGACTCGTCGTTTATCGGACGTTCCGTCCGGTGCGAATGTGCAGCAACAGAATGAGGAGGGGCAGCAGGAAGGGGGGAATACTTCGGTGTTGCAGTCGGTGCAGGAGACGGTTTCGAAGGCTTTGGGGGGTGGGAGAGGTGGGTTCTCTGTCTCTCTCTCTCTCTCTCTCTCTGTTTTTTTTTTTTTTTTTTTTTTTTTTTTTTTCTTTTTTTCGATGGAGAGTAACTAACGAAGGGGGGTTGGGATACGGTTTAGGATCTAGGAGCTGAGTGAAGCGGTGATATATACGAGATCGGAATATTTTTGATCCAAGTGGCATTATTGTTGGGCTGTTGATGGGATCAAGGCTTTTTTTTTTCTTTCGATCTGGATAGGATAGGTTTCAGATTGTATATCCTATCCTGAAGGAGAGGGGTAGGTTGGCTATAGAGAAAGAAAAGGTTAGTCTAGGGAATTAGAATGTGATTTGATACTATGTAGGACTTAGACTACTGGTAGCCAACTACTTAATGTACGCAGTTCTTGTCAGATGGCAACGGGATTGCAATTATTATCATACTATAACACTAGCTTCGTCTGATCATCATCCTCACTAGTATACTGCACGTCACCTTTTGTGTATCTTGAGTCTACGAGAGGGCGACACGGCACGAAGATCGCATATAGGCATACTCCAAGGCGCTCATGAGGCCCATGATATGCGCTCCGATGGACAGAGTAACGAAAATGTGCCATATCGTATGGGAGTGGCCCCAGATATCAAACTTCCCGGGAAAGTATCTCTCTGGCGCTCTCCTCTTGACACGGCAGATAAGGTTAGCGTCTAACAGGAACATTCTGCTACAGCTAGTTGAAATACGTACCTCCCAGAAGAAACAACCGATAATCAAGAGGAGACCTTCGAGTAGATAATAAGGCACGCCGATGTTTGAAAGGAACTCCGGTCCCCAGATGAGAGTGCCGTGGCCGATAGGGGCGAAAGCTGACAATCCCGTGCAGATGAAACTCATAAGGCGGAACGTTCTCCAGCTTGGGTCCCGGAACCAGGGACTGACTAACAGTGCGGTGGTAGCGGATGCCAGGGTAAATATCTAAATGCGAGGAGCACAACTAGTCAGCTGGCGTTATTCGAGTAACAACCTGGTTTAACCCGTGACTAACAAGGCTCCAGTAGGTATATTTCAGAGTCGGATCACAATAGAACCCGAAATGCAGACCACTGATAAAGTTGCCCAGGATCAGAGTCATGATACCCAAGTAGTCGAAATGCAGCCAGCGGTGAGATACACTGGGCGAATGGTTCAGGAGCGTGTGGTACAGCGTCGACACAGCCAAGCAGACCGTCGCCGTCAGCAATTGGAGCGAGAGCACCGACCAATCGAAGCTGGTGAGATTAGGGTACCGCGTCCGGACATGTTCGTACATGAAGCTTTGAGCGAAGACCGAAACCACCGCCGGGATCAAATGAGAATAGATGTTGCACGTTTCGTTGTGCAGATATGTCCAGCTCGCCAGAGAGCCAAGGAAGGAGTTGCTCTCATTGCGATAGCCAGAAATGATAAACGGATTCACGTCGTACCACTTGGGGACTTCATCTATCTTGAGTAAGGTATTTTTGCTCGGGGCCTGTTCTACAGGCTCCCCGTCGACGGTATTCTTTAGGGAATTAGTGCTCGACTTTGTGACTGGGCGAGCAGGCCGTGTGACGCGAAATCTTATGAATAGGTCGAACATGTTGCTTCAATTCAAGAGTATGGATAATTAAAACAGAATGCAAACAAGGACTCTTATCAGGAGTCTTTTCGTGCTGCGAGACGTCTATGTGCTGTAGTACTGGAGCTGTTTTGGTGATTGGGATATCTAGAGACAAGGAAAAACAGTAGGAAATACAGAAAAATATGTACAATTAGGCATAAGAAGGGAATCAAAAGATAACGAGGGGCGGAAGGAAAAAAGAAGGGAAAAAAACAAGTATAAAGGAGAATCCCACTTGTTTATTGCCGATGTTTCCGTTGCATGTGGTTCCTGCTGAGTCATCCGGCCAGCTTGACGGGCAACTCATTGTTGGATGTTGTTGACATCGAGGACGAGATCGTCCTTTCGCTCCAAGTTCAGAGTGCGCCATTGACTAACTTATAAGTCCACTGATACCGAAAGCTACTAGCGGCTATTTATCTTGAGCTGCGCGCGGTATCAGTAAGATCGTCGGGCCTCCTGTTTGCTCCTCAAGTCCACCCCGCATTTGACGATTTGCGTGTACTCTCTTGGGAAGTTCCGCGGAACAATGGCGCAGAGCCCTACGGTAAGCAATCTGGTAATGCCTATGGATGGGTTCAACGGACGAGAAGTTGACACATTATGGCCTAGCAACAGCCCGTTCCTCAGCATGTATCCGCATTGCTCACTCACCTCACCTCCCGGCCCGGCGTCCAGTCTACGCTGATTCTATCCCGCAAAGATGGGTCGATAATCCAGTGCACTGGACTGCTAGCAGCCAGTTCCAACCAGACAGCTCCAGGCTCCCGCGGGAATGTCGTAGAGACTTCTGCACCGCCCAGCTCATCATCCTCCGAACCTACCCCGTCGACAGATGCTATAAGCTCTACTGCTACGAACCAGACCCCTCCATACAAGCCTAGCCATGCAGAAGCCCTGGCGGCACATATCCACGCCTTTGTCACAAGTGCGTCCGCTTTAAGCACGTCTCTATCACACCCTGCCTCGGCCACTGGGACAGAGAACGGATACGGCTCGAGGTCGCTAGCTACGAACGCTTATGATGAGACTTCGGCCAACGGAATCGGTTCCCGGGATGACGATGCAGAAGGAGAGAGCCACAAGGAGGACGAAGATGAAGTCAAGCTCTTGCGGCTGAGGACGAAGAAACATGAGATTGTCGTGGTGCCCGACCGGAAGTATTTACTCTGCGTTGTTCACGGCGCATCCGGGGCTGCTGGGTCAGCGGGAGCACCAGGGGGTGGAGGAGCATCCAGGTGAACGAAGTTGTCGAGGCATCGATTTAGGAGTCATATTCCAATTTTCTCAGTCAAGTGGTTTCTGCGCCTTTGGTTGGTCTGGAGCGATCTGTGTTGGCTTGGCGTGTTTACTGTCATATACCCGGTTGTAGTCGACTAGAAGTAGTTACGATATTTCCCTATATCTTCCCATGTTCATGGCCATTGTACTCTGATATCGTTGGAAAGCACTTTATATCACAAAGTTTTTGACATTGCATCTGGATACCTGCGAGATGACTGACAACGGTCATGCTGCTATTACTAAATATGCACATGACTGCGAGTAAAATAGCATATATACAGGGACAGGACAATTAGTGAACAAGACTTTTCCGAAGTCAACTGAGCAGGAACGCAAATTTAGGAATTAACTCTCGCGGCCATCACTGCAGATCTCTTCGACGCACCACCATGAACTACTCCTGCGCTACTTGGATGCCTTGAAATCTATAGCAGATAAAAGTCTTGTGCGTATGAAGAGATACCGCTGAGATTTATATAAGGTGCACATCCAACGGACAATCAGCCGTAGGATTAAAATATGCTTCACAGCCATTCAACGTCAATCTCAAGAGGAACATATCCGACTGGCAGTACCACGGAGACGAATAATTGAACGCCATATAATATAATTGCCTTTTCCGATGTAAAAACCTTCTGTTCCAGAAATAACAGCTGGTGCAACCGATTTGTAGACTAGCTCATCGGGCAACTCCTACTAGAATCGCTGATAGGATCTAGTCAATATCGGCCAACTATTTACCCCTCGCCTACCGATGTTGTCAGCATAACTGCTCCGACAGGAGGGGTTAGCTCCAGCTGACGCCTCCGATAAGCAATATGGACATCAAAGAGATTATAATCTGAAGATACCCGTCTCATTGCTGTCCTTTCTGTGACTTGGTTGCGTAACTTGGCCCAATTCGTGAAGTGACTCCGATTATTACAATGGCTTCAACGTTCGACGTGGCCCAGGTGCGATCGCGCTTCCCTGCCTTGAAACAGGACCAGGTTTTTATGGATAACGCAGGTAGATGAATGTCACAGTTGCGGGTTTTTTTTTTTTGTGTTTTTCCGATGAGATTCAAGAATCACTAATCTGAGGTAATGGGTATTAGGAGGTAGCCACGTTCTAGATACGGTGATCGAATCGTGAGTCTTGATTGAGCTTCTTTTTGCGTAGAAATAGCCCTGATTTCCATCCTTAGGATCCAGACGTACTTGTCGCGAACAAACGTCCAAATCGGTGCAACATACAACGTGGCCAAGGCATGCACGACTGCCTATAATAATGCGTTTGTACCGGCGGCTAAGTTCATCAACGCAGGTCCAAATGAGGTATGTACCGTCGATTCTTTTGCATCTGTACCATGTACTGTGCTGGTGATGAGGTCAATGTCGATTCATGCACTAAATCATCTCAGATATCCATCGGCATATCCACTACCCAACTCCTCCACAATCTCTCTACTGCGCTCAACTTCGAACCCGGTGACGAACTGATTCTCTCAAAAGTCAACCACGAAGCCAACATCTCTCCCTGGGTTCGGATCGCCAAGAGACTCGGCCTGACGATCAAATGGTGGTCCGCGACAGATGTGAAGAATCCTGTCTGCGACCTTGAGGAGCTGAAGAGTCTGCTGTCTGAGAAGACAAGGCTGGTGGCGTGCCCACATGTGTCTAATATCACCGGGACGATAACGAACGTCAAGGAGATTGCAGCCGCAGTGCATCAATTTCCGAGGGTATGTCAAATGAATTTGGACTATTTCCATCCAGAGTGCAGAGCGCTAACGGCCTTGATACTGACAGGCACTACTTTGCGTTGATGGAGTCGCTTTCGCACCTCACCGACACATAGATGTAAAAGAATTAGACGCAGACTTCTATGTATGCAACCGCTTGAGGCAAGAAGAAAAAACACTTTTGCTGACCACTCCGCAGACCTTCTCCTGGTACAAAGTCCTCGGCCCACACATCTCCCAACTATACGCCTCCTCCCGTGTGCACTCCGAGATCACGCCTCTGTGCCATTACTTCAAGGACCCCGTGACCCTGGATATAATGCTGAACCTTGCATCCGCGAACTACGAATTGACCCAAAGCCTTCCCTGCGTGGTTGAGTACTTTGGCTCAGATATAAAGACAAAGTGGGGACAGATTGCTGCATACGAAGAACAGCTGCAAGAGATTCTTCTCTCATACCTTCGAAGCAACCCGCGCATTACCATCTACGGAGAGCCGTCTGCAAACAAGGATCTACGAGTCCCCGTTGTCTCATTTACGGTGAAGGGAATGAAAAGTAAGACGGTGGTAGACGAAGTGGAGAAGAGGTCGAACTTCGGGTTCCGCAACGGGCATATGTACAGCCATCGACTGCTGCAGGAGATCATGCATCTGGAAGATGTGGAGGATGGCGTTGTCAGAGTCAGCATGATGCATTACAATACTGGTAAGTGCCGCTCTTTATGCTAGATGATTTCATACATACTGACCGTCTCTACAGAGGAAGAAGTGAAAGGCCTGGTTAAGGTCTTGGAGGAAGTCATCCTGCCGAATTGAAATATCCTGGGAGGATCGAGCCGATAGTAGCAAAAATATAGCATATCGATATATTATCAACAGCGAGTAGTCCTATCCTCAGTAGTCGTGGAGTAGAAACATTCCTGCCTGAGGCGAACATAGATATACCACGTGACTGTAGACGTCACGTGGAGATATGATATCGCAAAAAGTTCCCCGGTAAATTTATATCGCGTCCAGACTTGGAAACAATTTCTCTGGAAATCAGAGCTTCGCTACATCATCAAGTGCTGAATAGCTTACGGAAGACCACTATCTGTGGCTATCTGTTCCTTTTCTCCGGCACCGGGCCAATTGTTACGCTGCCAAATCCTGACGTCCGAATTTCACCTCCAGCTCTGACGCATAAAATCCGAGGAGCGAAATTTCGTTCTCCAAAGTGGCCTTTCGTTCTCTCCTGGTGTGAATTTTATCCTGCGGATTGTGTATAATCAATTCCATCCCTTCTACTGTCCTTTGTCGGGAATTTGAGCCAAGCGTCCACCTAAGGACGAATCAGAAAGATGGGTTCCAGTCAGAAAAAGAAGAATGAGAAGAAGAAGGATTTCCAGGTATGTTCCTAACTACTTGAGTATACGTATCATTCAGAAATTGGTCTTGGAGGATAGAACTGACTGCTTGCAGAAAACGAAGCTGAAGGTCGGGAAGGCAAGGCCGAAGGCTGATAATTTTACAGATACGAGTTTTAGATCGAAAGGTGCGTTTTCTCTTCTTTTCTTCTTCTTCTCCTCCTTTAATCTACTAAGTTTGAGATTATTCGAGTTTGTTTGTGACATGATTCTAATTTAAACAGCTATCGTCCTAAACCAGCAGTCTCTAACCACTTCTGCTCCGTCATCTTCGTCGCAGTTCTCTCACCATCTCTCACTACTGTCATCGAAATCAGACTCCCAGCGTCGAGAGTCTCTGGCATATCTGACCACCTCCGTGTCCTCACGGCCCGTGGACTCTCCTCTCCCGCAACCGGTGAGTGTGATGCTGCCGACTATGCTTCCACTTATTCTGGACGCAAGCAACGGTGTCCGGACGCAGCTTCTTAAATTTCTCCGCTCGCTGCCTGAAGCCGAAATTGAGGACCATGTGGCACAATTACTGCCTTATATCCGCGCGGGTATGACACATCTGGCAGCGGATATTCGTCTGTCTGCCGTGGAGATCCTGTCATGGCTGGTGGAAGTGGCGGGGCCGGAGGTGGTCTCGTCTGCAGGAGGCTGGATTCGGACGATTAATTGCTTCCTCTCACTGCTCGGATGGCATACGGATGAATCTTCTAAATGGTCAGCCAATAGAGGCACGTTCGGCAAGGCTGGCAGTGAAGGGAAACCCATGGTCAAGGTTCTGCAGGTGTTAGCGGAATTCTTGCGCGCCGGGTTATGTCAGCCAGGTGAAGACGATGTAGACATGGTGGACTCAACAGCTGATGGGGAGGAGAATCTTGCATTCCCTGTGACTGGCGGCTGGGAATTCCCGCTGTGCGACACGGCGCAGCATATGATTCCTGCCAAGTCCACTCCGTACGCTTACTTGAACCTGTTCGGACAGCCGCGAGATGAAGAAGGAGAAATGTACGAGACCCGCGAAGACCGCTATCGAGTCTTTTCAGAGAAGTTCAGAAGAGCGATCGAGCGGGGTGTGGAGAATGCGCGCAAGGAAGGGGGAGAGGCCGGACGAGCGTCTGCTGCAGTGGCCAAGGTGCTGAAGGAAGCAAAATCTGCTGCGTCGGAGTCGTGATGCGCCTCTTTTGTCAATTCTTCACAAACGTCTGTCCAGCCACGACGCCAATCAACATAGCAGCACCAATAACTACGTTGCGCACAAGCAATTGGCCACGTTTGGCCTGTGCGTCACTGAATCGCAAATTCGTCTGAACCTGGCATCCCAAGAACTATGACCCTTTACCAGAAGGTCCCACTCGCAGTCTCTTGAGCCTCGGCGGGTGTACAGGAGGTCTTTTGTGAGGTCTCGAAGCCGCCTGCCGACGGCGGGGTATAAACTGCGATCAATGGCACAATCTGTGTATCTGCTTGACTGAACGCCACTATTCAGAGGACCTTGGTTTAATTGCCACCGACCATCCGGTACAGCTAACTTGGCTGAGGGTTAGGCAAGGGAAATTTAAGCCATATTTGCTAGCGAGTGACGCTACGAGACTATAGATACCCGGATAGCATTATTACGAAAGTCACGGAATGATCACAATCGAAAACTCGTAATCGTGCAAGCGTCAAGCGCCAAACAAGCCATTCTTTCCTCTGGATCTACTTGCCATTACAGTATTGGGGGATGATTTCCGCAAAACTTGGCGCTGGCCGGGGGCGGGTCTACTAAGTATTATCTCGCCCGGGGGAACAGTGGAATCAATTAATATCACAGGCCTTCTCTTATCATCAGCAGGAAGTCGCCACGCCATATGAGAGCCGACGGCCAATTAAGGCCCTGACGATCGTCGTTATTATCAGCCGGGTCGGGCGTTGGGGGTCTAGTCTATTCCGCACGGGGAAGCGCTTATCAGTCCTCCTCGTGGCTTATCAGCCGTCGCTGTGCTCTATCTTGCTCGCTATCTGTTGGACGTGCATCCCGACTTCGGTAGAGAAATCTGGCCGTCTGTCCGCTATAATGGAGCTATTCGGTAGTGTTTAATACTTTCGAGGCGGATGCGTCGTGTTCTCTGCCGGCAGTTGCAGCGGTAGATATTTACTCGTCCCGTCTGCAGGCTGGTCCTGTTTTATACGCAATAGAAAGACTCCCCTTGATTGAACTTCGGTGTCGTCGCAGAAATGAAGTTCAAACGGCCCAGTCTCTTCGTCACGCAGCCCAAATCAGCATTCGCTGAGGGCAATGCTCGCTGGACGAACCTCGATCTCGACCCGGTGCCTCGTCACATGCGAAAATGGGGAGTCACTAGTTTTATCGGTACGTCTATCATCTTATATTCCGAATACATACGTTTCAATGGAGGTGAAATGCTGACTTCATGACTCCCAGCATACTGGATATCCGACGCGTTCAATACCGCAACATGGCAGTTCGCCAGCAGTATTCTGGCCGTCGGCATGACCTATCGCGAATCCCTCATCATTGTGGCCGTTGCATTTTTCATCATTTCTTTCGTCATATCCGGTAACGGTGCCATTGGGTCCATCTATCACGTCCCCTTTCCGGTCCTGGCGCGCGCCAGCTGGGGGTTCTGGGGGTCCTACATCGCCATCATATCTCGTGTCATTCTGGCAGTGTTCTGGTCAGTATTAGCATCTGGGAGCTAAATCCCCCCTTCTCTAACTTTGACCAGGTTCGCCATTCAAAATGTCAACGGTGGAAATGCCGTCCGAGTCATGATCGGCGCCATCTGGCCCAGCTTTCTGACAATCAAAAACACCATTCCCGAGAACCAGGGCATCACGACGAACGGGATGGTCAGCTTCTTCCTCTTCTGGCTCGCACAGATCCCTTTCCTGTACATGAGACCGGACAAGCTCCGCTGGTTGTTTATGGCAAAGTCGATCTTTGTTCCTATCGGCTGGATCGCCATGTTGATCTGGGCTTTTGTCTCAGAGGGTGGTGGAAAGATCTATGACCAGCAACCAACGTTGAAACCAGGCTCGTCCGCATACAGCTGGTTGTTCCTGGCTAACTTGACTTCGGTCATTGGCAACTATGCCACTCTCAGTGTCAACCAGGTATGCAATCGTCCCTCCCCCGCTACTCTCTCCCTTTCTTCCAAATCAGCATCAAAAAATGAAATATATCTAATCCAACCCCGAAAACAGTCCGACTTCTCGCGCTACTCCCGCGTCAGCGTAAAATGGCAAATCCTCTACGTCCCTATGCTCCCTATCGTCTTCACCTTCATCGCCTTCATCGGCATCACCACCTCCTCCGCAGGCCAAGCACGCTACGGCGGCTCCCTCCCGTGGGATCCCACCGTCCTGATCAGCTACTGGGACAACCGCGCATGTCGCTTCTTCGCCTCCTTCACCTTCGCCCTCGCCTCTCTGGGAGTCAATATCTCCGCGAACTCCCTCTCCGCCGCAAACGACTTCACCGCGCTCGCTCCGCGCTTCATCAACATCCGCCGCGGCCAACTTCTCTGCGCCATCTTATCATGGTGTCTCGTGCCCTGGAAAATCCTCGCCTCCGCCGGAAACTTCCTCAACTTCATGTCCGCGTATGCGATCTTCCTCGGCCCCATCGCTGCCATCATGTTGTGGGATTATTGGATCATCAAACGCAGAAAATACGACTCTTTGGCCCTCTACCAGCCCCAAGGTATATACCAATATGGCCGCTACGGTGTAAACTGGCGCGCCGTGGTAGCGTTCCTCGTTGGCGTCGGACCCAATTTACCAGGTCTGATCAATTCCGTCAATTCGAGTATCGAAGTCGGTGTGGGTATTCATCCGTATCAATTCGGATGGCTATTGGGGTTCGTGGCCAGTAGTCTTGTTTATATCACCTTGTCGCATTTCTTCCCCGTGGAGACGATGCTGATTGAGCGCGCCGTTCTGCCGGATGAGATATATGATGCGAGGGAGATGGCCGTGGAAGGCGTGGAGCCAGTGCCGAGTGATGAGGAGAAGATTGGTTCGGGGGCAAGCATGGGTGAGGCGGTCGAGGTGAATGAGAAGAGTGGGTTTAAGAGGTTCGTCAAGGGGATAGATCGGATTTTGTAGTGCGGTTCTCCCTTTTCTTTTTATTTCGGTTCTATATAAGTAGATAGGTATGAGAATATACGATCTGTTTACTTAGTTGATACTTGGTGTTATGTTATGAATAAGGAACATGTTTTGGGTGAGTGATTGCCATTGCCTATTGCTTATACTATGTATTGTAACCGTTCATGCTGTTGTGTATTCGAGTCGCACTGCCCATGGCAAGTATGTACTCATCGATGATTCGTCAATTTGCATCAGATGTTTCGTTTTCGTTTCTCATCATGCCTTACCCGACAGTCATCCTCGCCAGCATGTACATACATACATACATACTACTCCTAATGCCCGCCAAGAGGAAAAAACAAAAGCTCAAGTTAGGAGTAATAACCATTCTCACCCGGCAACCTAACATCATCCCAACCACGTCCATCACCGACTCCAGGCAAACTACCCTTACGACGAATCCCCGACCACTCAGTGATATTCATCCAACCGATCTGCTGGGTATCTCCAAACCCACCGATCCAATACACATGGGTGACAACCATCTTGGCCCAAAAGCTCTCGTGCGGAGAGAACTTCTGGTCCGGTAACCAGACTCTCGCGTCGGGGTGTTTAGCCAGATAGCACGATTCGAGAGCCCTCTTCGTGCCTCTGGGTAGGGGGGTTTCGAAGGGAACTACGTATCCGAATAGCGTCACGCGCGGAAGACCTGCCGGACTGAGTGGGAAACCAGGGTAGATGGGTCGCGTCTCGTCGAGGTGATCCCACCAGTCGAGAGAAAGGCTGATGTTCGATCCGGCGGCTGTGTTGCGGAAGGTCGTGGAGATTTTTAGACCGACAAATGTCGGGCTGCCGTCTCCGCCGTTGCCGTCGGGGAGGGCTTCGTCGCAGTCTGCGACGTATTCGGGCAGCGGAACCGATACGCCTGCGACGTCAGGGGGAGCGAAGGAACTGGGCGGGATACGATCTGGGAAGACGGTCGAGACGACTCCAGTTTTGGCGAGGGCGAGGAGACGACGCGCTCTCAGCGTCGATACCCACCACGACGGACGGGGGAAGGTCGTCTTCTCCTCTCCATCTTGGCTTCCAACCGTCACTGTATCTGCATTATCCTCATCGGAGGCAGCAGAAGAGTGCAGAAGTAAATCCATGTCATCGTAGATACGCTCCGGCTGCACCTCCTGTCCTATCACGGCATGCTGAAACGGAGCATCACCCGCATCCACCACAGGGACGCCCAAGACCGGACGCGCGACCTGGCCGAGTACAAGACAAGTTGTGAGAAGCTTTGAAATCGACCAGACTCTATCGAGCTCCATGGTTGGAGACGGGAACCTTCGTTTTTTATTCGATCGTCCAAAATACCAATCGGAGGTCCGGACAGAGGGGGGTTAGGGAAGAAGGGAACCGCAACCCGTTTGCTTAATAGAAGATTTTCAAAGAAGACTGCCGATGAAGCTTCGCAGCAACAGCAGAAATAAAAAAAAAAAGGGCAAAAGAGAACAATCACAATCACAGTGGGCTGTTCAGCGTCCGAGGATGTTCGTTCGATGTCGTTTGACTAGCGGCGTGTCGGGTGACGGTCACAGGACATGACGCCAGTGGGTCTGAGTGGGGACCTCGGATCTTATCAAGTTTAACCGCATGATCTTATCTGATATGTACTATCCCAAGATCAGACTAGCTCATGCTAAGTCAGCGGATTTTCCAAAACGGCCCATCACCTGACTTCCCGAACGTACCCGACAAGTGCCCCGATGTCCTCCGGCCTCGCTCCACCCCACTTTCCCTCTCCGGCAATAAGAACCTGTCTCCAGCTAGCCCCACGTGGCATGCGGCTAACTTCATGCGGCAAAGCGTCAGCCCAGCTCGCAACGTGACTCACGCTACCAGCACGTGTCCACGGTCTGGCGGTGGAGAGGAGCTTCGCCACAGTTTGATCGGCGCAATGTAACTTACTCTATATCCAAGAAAACTGAAGGCGAACTTTTTTGCCCTGTTGTCAGTTAACCATGGATAAGGGTCAGGAGGGGCGCGCACAATATCGAGTAGAGGATCTGGTAGCGAGAAGACCACACCACACTTCCCAACTGGAAAAAACAACATCGTGATGACGACGCGGTATGAGTCACAGCATAGGTAACGAGGCCACGGTCCTCCAGAAATCGTCACGCCAACAGACCGCCAAGTGTAGGAGAGAGAATTATCGTCGTTGGTGTGAAGAGAGGTCGGATTGCCCTCATGACCACATCAACCTACCTACCTAACTTAGGTGACTTGCCGCCTATCCTCGCGAGGAGATGGTTGCCTAATGATTAATAATGGGACCTAGTTAGTTAGCGATGGAAAGGGAGATAGGGAATATATGCAACTGGGGGTTTAGTAGAATAACTCAGATGTTTCTCAAAAAGTTCCGAAATCGAGAGATAGATCCAAGCTACTTATTTCCAAGGTATTGGCGGTATTGGTTGATCAGAAAAACCGATCTGATACTAAGTGATAGAATTGATCAACAGGGTGGAAGCCGGATAATCCCTAATCTATGAAAGAGGAAGACAGGTGATCATATTATGGTGGTTGCATTATTGTACTGTACGAATGCCTATTCCTACTTACACCACGAGCGGCCGAAAGAGAGACGAAAGACTGGACGCCGTAGGATGCTCCTCTCGCTCCGATCCCGCTTTGCTAGGGGAAGCTCCTTCCCGTGCATTCGACCGTAGTCAAAAATGGAGCGTAGCACAAAATAAAACCCCCATCCGTATCGACCGCGCGCCGGGAACCGATAAGAAACAACATGCGAAAGGGAAAAATCAAAGGAGCAAGCTCCGACAAGAGCCACCTGTGCGGTACATCATACATACAATGAGAGCGGGACAAGCTTCCCAGTCCCCTCTCCACCAGATAAAGTCGCAGGCAAGAGTAGAAGCATCAGGCACCAGAGACTTGAAAGCAGTCGCTTTTTCCCTTCGTTTTCCGACGAAACAGCAGGGTATATACACAAGACAATGCTTTTCAGAGTACTCAAGATGAAAGGGAGGACGTCAATGGTCTCAGCCGGACACCACCTGGTCCTCTGCCGCAAAAGCAAATAAAAAGGAAACAACACCATCTGCTGGTGCAAGCAGATTGCCATAAGCAGTAAAATCAAAAAGAGGTATCTTTTGTTTTTCGTAAAGAGAGATATGATAGGAAGAAACCTACTTTTCGCTTCTTCAGTTAAAGGTCTTGGACCGACCGGCAGCGTTCAGCAGAAACGGCCGGGCCTCGCTGCCGCAGCATGCACGCTTCAAGCTGCCCGTGCCATGAGGACCGGATAGAGGGACCGGCAAGCGCAGCGAGCCAAACTGAGAAGTGGACGGTGACTGCAAGCCTTTCGGCTGCGGAAGCATGAAGGACTCAGCAACGTTGCGGTCAGTCAATACTACCGCCTCCGACTTGCCCGGATTGATGCCCATGATCTGGCGGACGTTGGTCTGCAGAATCATGTCTTCCGACGCGGTGCGACCGCGCTTTCGGCAGCGTCGTGTCTCCGGGACAGGCTCCGGCGTCGGGTGAGAGCGGGGTACAGCGCCCGATAGCTCACAGAGACCCTGAGCGGCTTCGTGGGCAGTTAAATCGATGGGAGTATTCAACGAGAAATTGGACAGATCCGGCACCTGCGGTGCAGAACCAACGTACGATTCCGGGGAGTTGTAGATTCCCGCTAGCGCTGTCTCATCGATCGGAGAGGCAATGATCAGGTTCTTCCGGCACTCCTTCAGCGCGTTGTTGGCGCAGCGACGAGTCGCCTTGATAGCCAGCCGAGACTGGATAGGCGCGCAAGTCCCAGACGCACTCGACGAGATGGAGGAAGAGCGGGAAGAACGCGACGACATCGACGAGACATCGGAGACCATCGACTCTGGAGACGAGGCGGACGAAGTCGATCGCGCCAGAGAGGAGCGACGCATCGCCGTGGGGTAGCCATCGTAGGTTACCGACCGGCCAGAAAACGACGGGGGCGGGCGCTGATCGAGCGTCGAACGCGCCGTGCACAGGCTCTGAGCTTGCGACATCGCTGAACAGATGGATGGCCTCCGCGGATAGAAACCGCTGACACTCACAGCAGGAGTGGAAGCGGCGCTCGACTGAGGCGTCATCTGAGGAGTCGGTAGCAAGCCAGGTCGGGGAAGCGCAGGCAGAGATGGGTTGTGATACTCCAATCGAGGGGTCGGCTCGAGAGTGAGAGGGATGTTGCGAGCGCATGTCGGGGTCTGCTCGTGGGAAGACGAGAGACTCGGTGTCGACATCTCGCTGCAGGGTGCTTCCGCAGCACAGTCCATCTCGAAGCTTCCGAAACCCCAGGGGCTGACGGGTTCGGGATCGACAAAATCAAGCTCAGGCGTGAGCTTGGGAATGATCGTGCGCCAGCACTGACCGTCCGCGGGAGGCGGCGCTCCAGCACCAGGAGTGTACCTGAGGACAATGTCTGTCCAGCGCTGGAACGTACTCTCCGGGATGTGCAACCTCCAGCTCACGGCGTCGAGAAACATCAGTTCGTTCTGGTTGATCTCGACCGTGTTGAGGCCCGAAATCTTGCTCCAGGCTCGGGCGGAGTAGTTGCGGTCCTGTAGATACTTGGACGCGAGGATCAAGGCGGCGAGAAACATGCGTCGACCGCACTGCATGGCGCGTGCGAGCGGCTTATCCCTAGGCTGTTCCATTGTGAAATCATGTTTGGGCACATGGGGTCTGATCTTGATCAGATAATAGAGCGCCACCTGCAGAGTACTGTAACTTGTGCGGGATCGCCTGAGCGTTTCCTGAATGAAGGTACGCAGAGGCAGAACTCCCTTGCAGCCCAGGGTAGAATCGCCGCGAAGAGAGACGACCGACAACGGCCATATCGTCTCGACTATTTGCGCCGCAGTATCTTCAAATGTGGATCTCAGCGGATGAACTTATCACGTGTCCACATTCAAGAGTTTGAGACTTACCGACGAGATTATCGACGAAGTTCACTTTCCGCTCACATTGACGAACAAGAGACGGCGGGGCGCGCACGCAAGAGGGAGCACCGTTCGATGAGACACCAAGGCTGTTGGTACGTCGAGGGTTCTTCCGCAACTCAGGCGGCACTGCCGTGTCAGCCACTTTGGGAACATTTGCCCTCACACTTCCCCGGGGGTAACGGGAACTCGATTCACTTGATTGAGCCAGGCCTCTTCCGGTCACCGGCGTCTCACCAGACGCTTCGTTCTCCCAGATGACATCTACCATGTGAGTGGACGATGAAGAGATCGAACTCTGAGAGGAGACGCAGTCAAGGGAGAAGATAGATGAGGACGATGATGAGGCGGATGAAGCGATGGATGAGGTGTAAGGGTGAACATTCTGCGCTTTCTGCTGAATGCTCGGGTTTGAGTAGGTCAAACCCAAAACGTCCATTCCTGTCATAGCCGGACGGTTTGCCTTCCTCGTAACTTGCGACTGACTCTCGACCGATCGTCAGGGGGTCATACAAGAACTAGTGGCAAAGATCGATGGCGATTGTCTTGTGTCACAGAGAATGTGACGACAGGATGGGTTCGTTTGTTAATTTTTTTTTAAACCGTGATATTTTCAATAGACCGTTAGGCGATAACCGGGGAGACGAAACCGAGTAGAGCAGGCCGTCTTTTGGGATCAGGCGACGGGGGACCCTTAATACTGAGCGATCGCCAGCTTGATCGATAAGACGGGAAAGTCAGATGAATGAGGTGTGAGAATCACCAATTCGAAATCGAGTCGAGCGGGTGAATGTTGATACGGCACGGTATCAACAGCGGATATGAAGGTAGGGTAACGTAGAAAAGGATGAAAGTTAGATCAGGAACCTTGATCCCGATCACCGTGTGTAGAGTCCAAATGTAGATCTGAAAACCGAAGCGGTGTGTATATGCGCAGACGAGCAACGTCGTTGATTAAACAGGACAACATCAACTCCTCTGCAGACTGCGGTTCGAAAGGCTTTCTAGACGCAGACACCCGCAGCAACCTTGCTGGTCTTTCGGAGATCTGATGAGGAGGATTCTGCAACGCGGATGATCGGATCGGAGGTGGTCGCTACAACAGGGTACATCTTGTAAACTGGGGTGTCGATCGAGTATATAGGAGGCCGATAAACGGCGGGACTGTCAACAAGCAGGCAGCACCAGTTAAGGTCTGACGCTTGTCAAGGCAGTCTGCTGGTCTATCGACGGAACGAGATTAGGGGAACGGCGGGAGGCGGAGAGCCGCAAGGAACTGAGGCGGGAAACACGAGATTAGCGCGGAGTTCTCTCCAGGCAAAAGAAAATGATCATGAACCAGTCGGCGGGGAGTTCTTTTTTATTATCCCTGGAGGCACCGAAGAATAGTCGACGGGGGCCTGGCGGTGCCGGGGGACTGGGCTGGGGGAGGCGGCGGAGCAAACAGTCACCGGCGGATGTGTAGTCACTCAGGTCCAGTAACAACTCCAGCAGCAGCGCAAGTGATGGGCCGGTGGATCAGAGCAGAAGGATGGAACGAACAGGATGGAACAGTGAGTCAACTCACGTTATTTGTTCTGCTGTCCAGAGCGTGGCAAGGTGGCGGGAAGCAACAGAATCGAGAGCAAGAGGACGCGCTGATCGTTCACCAGACCAGGGAGGCGAAGCGGACCACCAGCGGACAAGAAGCGCAATGAGAGGAAGAGAGAGCGAGAGAGAGAGAGAGAGAGGAAACGACGGGAGGAAGACAAGCTTTCTCTACGGGTTGGGAGGAGAAGGGGGAGTCAACACGTAGAGAGAGCTGTCTGCTTCGCAGTAGTTTATACCGGGGGGAAGAAAAGGGCAGAGAGGGAGGGAGGCGAGTAGGTATGACTGTAACGGAAATGAGTCTTTCAGGCTCCGAGATAGGATAGGATAGGATAGGATAGGATGGGAATGGGCTGGGCTGCTGAGCTGGGCTGCTTTGGCGCGAGTGGACTCGTGGCTGCCCGGGCGGTGACTCTTCGGGGGGAACGAAAGAAAAAAGACACGATCTTCCAAGGAGCTTACGGGGGGGCAAAACGGGGCTGTCTCACCTAAACCAGACACAGCGAAAGAGTGCGAGACGCTTGCCACCAGGCAGCAGAGCGACACGGGCGGTTTCGTGACCGCGCGTGATTCGAGGCAAAGGGAAAGTACAGAGAATGAGGGGAACAAATAATAATATAATAGTAGTCAATCGGAATGGTAAAATTGTACGAGCCAACAGTGGCGGTGGTAAGTAAATAAGTAGTTAAGTGGTGCAGTGTAATAATAATAATAGTAATAATAATAACAGGTAGTAACGGTGGTCACACTCTAGGGAACGTTGGACAAGAAGAGCATCAATCGACCAACTCGATCACTTATAATAATAATATTATTATATTATTATTGAGAGAACGATCCGAGGACGATACGGCGCTTATTCGAGGCTGGTCGCGCGGATGATCTGTAGCCCGGACATATCGACGATGGCTGGAGAAGAAGGAAAAACATGGGGGAGCAGCAGCGTTTTCTATTACTCGAGTCTACAGGAGAATTCTGCCTTTGGGGAACCATTCCAACCATCCCAGCAAGCAGAACAGACTGACAGACTGTGACTCCCTCCCGTGTTGCCGTCCTGGGCCAACCACCGCGTGCGCCTGTCCAGCCCGCGCCACCGACTCGCAGCGGGATGAGGCAATGAGACACAGCCAGGGAAGCCCGGGGCATGATGTGCATAATAATCTCCCTATTAACTAACCAACTAATTAATTAGACTAAGTTAACTGGACTCGAATCGACTCAAGTCCAAAGTATTATTACTATTACTCCGTATCATCGTACAGGTTACTCGAATCCTCGACGAACGATCGAACGAATGAACTACTTAACTGCCACCCCCCAGCCAGTCTCTGTCCACGCCGTCTGCCAGTACAGTATTTTCAATCGAACAGTGTCCGTTCTGCTGTTCCTGTCCCACAGCGTCTGGACTCGGTAACTTGAACTTAGCCCTACGGGACTAGGAGATCGACCAAACCAAAGACAGCTCCAGCTTTTTCAGCGTCGATACCTGAATGATAATCTTAGATTCTTGTCTGTAGATTTAGAATAATACAAGATGGCTAAGAGGCCAGATGCTGCTGCTCCACCCGACACCGGAGACGGAGACTATGCGATAGTGGCCGGATAGCGGTCCCATCCTCAGTACGGAGGAGTAGGAGAAGTCTGAACTCGTCTATCGTCTGGGGTTTGTTGTCTCAGCCTCTGTGTCTGTGACCGGATACTACTATAGGGTATTAACTTGAACTCCGCATTCTATTCTATTCTATTCTGCTATACTTCTACTAGTTCTCCTATAAGGCGTAGGCTACGTACGGTGTGGCTGCTGTTCAAGACGGGCCATAGTCTGGAACAAGCAGATCGCTCGTCAGATCAGATCAGATCCGATCCATGACATTCGTCTGTCCCTGATAACATGGCCAGCCCCTAAGCGCGTCCAAAAATATCGATACTGAAAGAACAGTGAAGGAGTATTACTACTCTACGAAAGAATAAGGACTCGAGGCACTGCTGTACCGGGTTAGTTATTTAATATTATTATCACCTGCAGTACGACTTGCACTGCACGGTCCCCGTGTTGCCGATAAAACTCTTTTCCCTGCCTCGTGCTCTTCTTTACCGGGTGTCCTCCGGTTCAGGTTCTAGAGCTCATCACCATATTCTGGATCATGACGATCACCGCACACAGCGCGCGATGGAATAAGAACCCGGAGGACACCTTAATTAATCACTTGCCGTGGTAGGATTGCGTGCAGCGCAGGGGTGGAGCAAAGAAGGATCCCAAGGACCCAAGATGGTCTGTTTTTTTTCTTCTCGGGTCATGCTTTTCCCCGTCCTGCTTTGTTAAATCGAGAGACTATTTTTATGATCGTACCTTCATTTCATGTAATAATTTATTAATAATAGAGAGTATAACTAACTAGTTAACAAGAACAATCCTAATTATGCTCATTAGAATAAAATTAATGCAATAAAAAAAAACTCCCGATGCCCACACAACCGGCTGCAACTCCGGAGTCGCCACGCTGTCCAGGGCTTTTTCTGCCGCAACCCGCCAATCAGCAGGCATATAATTAATCCATTCCGGCAGCGATGACGATTTGCCTGTTCCACCGCCCCAAAGAATCTCAGTCATCTTTCGCATTCCTGACCGAAAGCGACGAGCAGGGAAAATCAAAAGACCAAGCTCGGACCTTAACCAGCGAGAGAGAGAGAGAGAGAGAGAGAGAATACGATGATGGCGAGAAGCATATTATTCTTCAAAAAAAAAAAAAAAAGAAGGAAAATTCTACACGACTTCGTGACCCCCCCCCCCCCCCCCCCCCCCCTCTCCCTCCCTCCATTTCCGGATGGAAAGTCACCGAACATCCATGATCTCCTTCCTTCTAACTTCAACTGCTTCCTGCATGACCTAGAGTAGTAGTTACTTTGTCCGGAGGCTTTTCATCTCTTTGGCTGGCTATCTGTCCCCATATGGTAATATTGCCGTACAGGTAACTAGTACCTAACTCAGCACCATCCTTGGACCTGGTCGCCCTGTATCTGGTACCCAGACGTCGTTCAACGTGGCCACAATTCATCCAGTAGGAGATCCCCGCTCTTATCCATCCATACTGGATTTTTTCCAGGTACATGTAGAAGTCAGATTCGAAGAAAAAAAAAATAAGGGCTGGCTACCTTCAAACGTGGCAACGACGATCAACGGTCTGAGTCAGGTTCTTGATCCCGAGGTCATTCATTCGTTTAGTTTAGTTAACTGTTCTGTACTGTACCTACCTATATGGCACTCGTGAGTAAACTAGAATATGACCTCCTCAAGTTACTATTACTCCAGAATTCTACAGACACATGTGCGGGGATCGAACTAATCCCAGTAGTGGCTAATAATAAGCCATCACCTATCCTCGCTGCCTACCTCTTTACGGTTCAAGCTTCCCTATAAGGAACCCCATAAGGCAACAGGCCCACCTTCCCATCTTCTTATCTAAAAGAGTTTTCTTTTTTTTTCCTACTGCTACCTAGGTAGTTGGCAACCTAACTATATTATTATTATCATTATCATATACTATGGAGTATGTGGTGGTATGGTTTAAATTTTAGAACCATCGGAGATTCAACCCGAACTGGACTCTAGGCAACCACTGCATCATCTCGTGTCATATCATATCATACCATACCTTAAGGCTTATCATATCATGGGACCTGAGAGTTATTGCGAAAACGCTGTAGTTATGTAATTAGGACAAGTGATAACTAGTTATCAAGAATGGGGTAGCTTGCAGGTGATCTCGACGGTTGTTCTTGATAGGTAGATGTAATATACAATTTCTCCATTACCTGCAAGAGAGAGAGAGAGAGAGAGAGAGAGAGTATCGTGTATTATCATCTAAGCGCAATGTAAACAGGATGATTATATTTTATCGATAACTATTCAGAAGCGTGATTTATTTATTCACTTTGTATTCTGATTTTACTGTGATTGTCCTTGTTGTGTCAAGTAACATAATGACAGAACTACCCATAGTATAAGATGGAAATCGCTTCTTTTCGCTTCGTGAGAATCTATGCTCTTATATATAGAAATAAAAAGAAAAAGAAACCGAGTGGATAGTCTTTAATTTTTCATAAACCCCGCTGAATGCTTTCAAAATCAAAAAGATAATAAGGGGATAGTTATACTATTTCGATTCATACAACGTTCCGGACGACATCATCGATGGCTTTGGCGACGTATGCTACGTTGTTTTCGCTCACTGTCGCTTGTTAGTATCAACTCCTCTACCTGACTTGGATGATTGATCACTTACAGCCGCTAATGGAGGCTCTTCCCGATTTGAGGAGGTAGATGTGGTACTTCTCCTTCAGAGCAACCACTTGCTCTGGAGTGAGGCCCGTGTAGGAGAACATGCCGTTCTGGAGTATATAGGTTAGTATTTTTCTTTCCCCGTCTGACCTGCTAGATAAGGGAAAGGAAAGGGCCATACCTGAATGACAATGTGGTCCCAGGTACCAGGAGTCTGCAACCTCACTAGTTCCTCATAGAGCGCCTTGCGCATGGAGATGATACGCGAGCTCATCACCTCCAGATCTCCCTGCCACTGCGCCTTGAGCTCGTCGTCGCTGAGGATCTTCTTGACGATCTCCGCACCGTAGCGCGGCGCCATCGAGTACTCCCCACGGATGATATGGCACAAGTTCTTCAAGGCCGTCTCCCTCAGCTCTGGAACCGTCACCAGATGGAACGCTCCCACCCGCTGGCCGTAAAGGCCGCAGTTCTTCGAGAAGCTCTGCGCAACGCACATCTCCATCTCAGGCTTCTCGTTCAGCACGTACCGGACAGCCCATGCATCCTTCTCCAGCGACCCGGAGGCGAATCCCTGGTACGCAGAGTCGAAGAATGGGAAGATCCTCTTGCGCTCACACACATCCACAATAGCCTTCCACTGCTCCTGGGTCGGGTCCAGCCCGGTCGGGTTGTGCGCGCAGGCATGCAGCAAGATCGCATCTCCCTCCTGAGCCTCCGTTTCAAGCTTCTGCAGCATGCCCTCAAAGTCCAGCTTGCGGGTAGAAGGGTTGTAGTACGGGTACTGCTTGATAGGAATACCCGACAAGTCCCAGATCGTGTTGTGGTTTGCCCACGACGGGTCAGAGAGCCAGACATGCTTGGGCTTCAAGTGATGTGCGAGGAAGATAGCTCCCACGTGGTTGGCACCTGTCCCTGACACTGCCTGGACCGATGCGATCCTGCTCTTGGCTTCCTTCTCAGCTGCAGACTCATTCTTGCTATCGAAACCAAACATCAGGTCTCGCGCTAGCTGCAGGAATCCGATATTGCCCTCGATGGCCAGATACTCATGTCTGGTGATATCCTTCTCTTCGAGCAGCTGCTTCTCGACCTTCTCCACAGTTGGCAGGGGCCATGGCTTGCCCTCATTTGTGCGATACACTCCGATTCCCAGGCTGACCTTCTGCGGGTGAGTGTCTGCAATGAATGCGTGATTGAGCGCGAAAATCTCATCGACGGCAACATGCGGCAGGCCTGCAAACACAGACTTGCGCGCCGTTGTCGGCTTGCTCCCTGACTCGACCATTCTTTCTAAACAGAACGTTCCAATTGTGTTTTATGCAAGCAGGTAATCATATACGGCGACGACGAGCAATAATAATCGCAAAGGAAACACAATTTAACCTGGGGTAGATATGACTCGCAAAGGTTCCGCTCTATTCACTTTTTACCCCGACGGCGGGCTTAGTAACGATTGCGGACGGCGTATTGATTGGACCATCTTGCCCCCTTCCGCATCCGAGATCGCAGCGCCATAAATAATGCTCAGCATCCGGATGATTCGCACCGCGATTAAATAATAATGCTCTAGAGTAGATGCGAGGTGAAGCTTCTTTAACAATAAAGCCAAACAAAGAACTCCTCCTAGAGTTCTCGATGAGAATAGTTTATTTGATTCCGTCTATATATCACAAAGCAAAAAGCGACTGGAGGGGCACGGGAAAGCATTATCAAGTAGCGCGGGGCAGCATAAGTACCTAGTATGGCGTTCTGTTAACTACCTAGGTACTTAACTTAGGTGTGCATAATCATTGTAACCGACGGAACGCCGCTATTGCCATATTCGAACACCTGCAGAAATGAGCTAGGACAAAGACGAGGCGACATCTGGATCAGCAGTCGAGACCATAGTCTACCGCTTCGAGAACTGGTTTCATATAATATAGCTCGTCAGGTTGCATAATTCTCCTGGAAGTATGCATGATATAGAGTAGTCCCATTTAGTTACCCAGAAAATGGTAGACGTTATTGAGCAAATTGCCCTTCTTTCCCTTAAGACATCAAAGCTATATTCTGCGATATAAGCTTCTGGCAGCAGATCGGTCTACAGATTTAGTCTATCTGCAATGCCAATAACAGCCACTACAGCCTGTTCCAAAATGCATAAAAGAAAAGCGTTTTCAAAAGTACATACATACATCCTCGCAAAAAGAAACACCAAAACTGGAAAACCCGACAATAATTCAATCTAATTCCCCTCCCTGGTTGTGTAATACGGAATCCTATTCCTATAAAGGACTACCTGCATAACTAGGTATGATGAGCCTGCATCTTGAACCCTGGTCTGCCTCCACCACTCGTATTTGCACAAGCCAGATCCTTGACCTTGCAGGGGTTTTAGTTCTTGATGACAGCTAAGCACGCATGAGAACTTGATCACGAGAAAATGCAGATCAGCGCAGATAGAGACTAGAAATGGTATGTTTCGCTTTCTAGATTATTAGTTTGGTTGTCTCCGTAGGTGTGTCGATCTTGATGTATTTTTTTCGATGTTAAGCTATACACATAGTTAATATGCGTTTGCAAGGGGTCCTATCGAATCCATGTTTCTGCTGATGATCGAATTTCATACCGTGAGTCACTTTCGTTAATACCGGGGTGGAGAAAATCGATACATATAAGTTCCATACATAAGCTGGCTGATTATATATAACTAACCAATGCCTTGGAAAGCTGACTTAGCATACCATCCACATATCAAAATTCCTCATGTCTATCAACATTACACCTCTCTCGCAACAAAGACCACCTCCTCGAACCCCAGAATTCCCTTAACACATCTACGTGACATAGCCATATTCCCCCGGGACTTTTATTCAAGACATCAAATGATACTTGTGCCTCCAGGGCTGGACAAAAAAGGGAAAAGAAAAAGAAAAAGCTGAGGAAAAAGCTGCCCGCCGAAAGCAAGGTGGGGTTTTGGTAGAATCCCCCCCCCCCTTGAGGGCATGCGGGAGGCCAGGGATGTGAGCTTTTTGCTGGTTGTGGAGAAGTCCACGGGTTAATGTTTTGATTTCCTTTTAAGGAAAGTGTGATATTATTTTCGGATATGCGAGTCCTACCTCAGATGGTTTGTTTTAAGGAGAATACACAGAAGATAGTAAACTGGACTTATACAACGGGAGGATAGTAAGTATTATTCTTTAATGGTAGGTTTCGTGTCATCCACGAATTAGTTGTGTTGAGCTCAGGAGGGTAAATATAATATAATATCGCTATCTCTTTTCGCACGCCCCTAATACACTCTTACAGTAATAGCGACAACGAACTTGATAAGAAATAGATTTAAGTCATATTCTTGAAATATTACCTATTTATTTTAGTGCTGTCTCAATAAAAGCAGCAGGAATACTGCACAAGGAAAGATGAAGAACATGCTATCCGCATACGATAATGCCGATCTCTATCATGCCGGACTCGAAACTAATTCTGCTATTGTCAGTATTATCTGATAGGAAATTTTGTTGATCGAAGTAAAGGAAATGACATGTAGAGTTAGGTTTCGCTGTAGAGAAGTTGTATCTTTAGGAGGAAAAGAGTTACTAGGGAGAATGAAGTAGATAGCATCCTACACCACCCGTGCTTGATGGACCTGTTATACTGTAAACGCTTATTCCATACATATGACCTAGACCAGCTTATTGAATGATGTTCAAAACTCTGACGCCTCATTAACCGTCATGACTTCCTGATAGAGGAAGCGTGGGCATAACGTATCTCACCCGAAACCCATGATTCGAGTGCATGTATATCGCAGCACTGTTCTAAACATTTGCGATCGAGAAATAATAACATAGCGTCGGATCATCCGACGTCACGCGGAAAAGTCCGATCTATTGCTCAGATAAGGGGATGGGGAGGTAATCTGGATAGGATAGAAGTTAAGAGAGGGGCAAGTTAATCGCAAGCTTCGGCCAAGTGGGCGTGGATGTGCCGGAGACTGGGGGTTTGATCGGCCTAGGGACAAAACAAGTTAATTAGTTAGATCTTGTCGGCCGAAGTAAGCGGAGTCGTAATGATCCGTCTAGAGAAAGAGTACGACTCTTTTCATTATTAACCTCAGAGAGAATCTTTCGAGTTGATCTAGTTGTTAGACTATCTGATTTATTATTGCCTGGTAGTCTTGTTTCTCGTTTATTATTGACTAAGGGTTTGTCTCGCACAATGGCAGATACAAACACGACTGCAGCATCGGGGGATGCATCAACGAAAGGTCCTTTGCATGCTCTTCGTCCCAAAGATATTCTACAACCACTACACAACAGCATCCCCGAAAGGCTGCTGCCCCGTTTTGATCCAAAATACGTGGAACTATATAATAAATACAATGCCGGCCGTCTACATACGCACGAGGTTCCGATTGAAGAATATAGGAAGAACCCTGGCAAGTATACTGTCTCCTGGGGACGCGCTGCAGGACCGGATATCTACCGCATCACGGAGCAGAAGTGCCCTGTAGAAGGAGGGGAGATTACTGTCAGGATCTTCGAACCAGCTCCCAAGGTGGACGAGAAAGGCAATGCGAAGAAGAGAGCTGCCTACCTTAACTTCCATGGAGGGGGTTGGGTCTTCGGAGATTTGTCTAAAGACCACGATTTCTGTAAACGGATTGTGGACGCTCTCGATGGGGACCTCGTGGCTTTTGATGTCGAATACCGCCTGGCACCGGAGAACAAGTATCCTATACCGGTGAACGACTGTTGGGCAGCATTCAACTGGGTAAGCACAAACCCCGAGTCTCATTATGAGTGCTAACCTGGCGAAGGTCCGGAACGAGAAAGCAGAGGAGTTCAACCTCGACCGCGATAGGTTCGCGGTAGGTGGCATCTCTGCTGGAGGTCATCTTTCAGCAGTTGTTGCCCATCTGTGCCGCGACGAGAGCATCCCCTTGCGCCTGCAGATTCTCTGTGTGCCCGTATGTGACCTCCACAGCCCCTTCACACCAGAAGGACAATTCGACCGCGAGAACTGCCCGTACGAATCGTATCGGATGATGGAATTCACACCAGCGCTTCCGATGGCCAGAATGGCATACTTTCACCGGCATTTCCTGGGCGTGCCACGACCTGAGAAGTCAGAAAGCGTACGTAGCAGCAAATATGCATCATTGGACTTGTTTTCTCCGCTGACATGGAGTCCAGGACTGGAAAATCTCCCCGATTCTGGCTCCCAATTTCGCGAACCTAGCTCCGGCGCTTGTATTCACAGCTGAGATGGATCCTCTTTGCGATGAGGGAGAAGCGTACGCCGCAAAAATGAAGGCAGCCGGTTGTGAGGTACAGTCGATCCGTGTGCTTGGAGCGCCGCATACTTTTGCGTATTTGGATGGTGTGTTAGCCTCGGGCAAGCTGTATAATGAAAGGACAATTGCCGTGTTGAAGGAGAAGCTGCGCGAGTGATTTGGGAGTTTATCTTAGCAGAGAGTTATCTTTCAAGTACAGTAGTACATACTCCAGACATGAAGCTGTAAATATGTACGAAAGCAGTGATTCACTCCGACCAAGCAACCAATCAGCAATTGACGTAGACGGACTCCAACGACGAAACTGTTCGTATAATAATAATAATGACTAGTTAGTTAGCAAAACGGAGAGTAACTACTAAGTAAACAGCTGGATAATCGATTACCAGCGGTCGCGGTCCGTTGGTACCGTACGGTACAGCCGCACCCTCCGCAGTTACGGCAAAGGCTTGCCGAACAGCCGTACGGACGGTTATTCCGATACACGGAGACGGGAAATCTCGGCTGGCCGTTGAAGGAAACGCGCAGAAGCGGACGGGCGGAAACCAACTCATATTATTATCCATATCCAAAGTCCTTTTTTACCTGGATAGGCATTTCTCCTTCCTCTCCTCTCCAGAAAGTTGCTTGTGAGGCATTGGAGTCTCCAAGTTGGTCATTATCCTCGTCTGACTAGGAAGACACACAACAACCCCAATCTACCATGATGAATCCAGCCTCCTCTCGGGCCGCGGTGCGCTCGATGGCCTCACATGCGGTCACTCGAAGCTCTACCTTGAGCTCCCCCGCAGTTGCCCGGGGCTTGCTCGCGGCATCTGCCCGCTCGTACTCCCCCTCATTCGCGATCAGTAGCCGACGGGCGCTGAGCTCCAATGGCCGGTCTCTGCAGCAGTTTACTCGCCTTCAGTCCATCAACCTGAGCTCCAGAGCTTTCAGCACGACCGCTAGAATGGTATGTGGTTTTGCGAAATGGAGGTGTTGCTCTTACGGTGTCTCTAGCAGGAGGACCTGCGGGAGTTGGGATGACATCAGCGATTGGGAAAAGAGGCTGACGGGTTGTATAGGCGCAGGAAACTCGAACTGAGACCGATGCGTTCGGTGAGATCCAGGTGAGTCTGCTTCTTGATAGTCCAGCGCAAAAAGATCGCGGAATGAGGATAAAGCTAACAAAAACATGCAATAGGTCCCTGCGGACAAGTACTGGGGTGCCCAGACCCAGCGGTATGTCGACAAGCAGATACTCAATAGGCAGACTGTATATTGACTCGAGCGTAGTTCTCTGGGTAACTTCAAGATCAACCAGCCCCAGGACCGCATGCCTCCTCCGATTGTGAAGGCTTTCGGTATCCTCAAGGGAGCTGCGGCCACCGTCAACATGAAGTTTGGCCTTGGTAAGTTGTAGAGCGCTCTAAATCTACGAGGATGCGTCCTAATCATGTCGTTCCAAGACCCCAAGATCGGCAAGGCTATCCAGCAGGCTGCTGCTGAGGTCGCCGACCTCAAGCTCATTGACCACTTCCCTCTGGTTGTGTGGCAGACCGGTTCCGGCACTCAGTCCAACATGAACGCCAACGAGGTCATCTCCAACCGTGCCATTGAGATCCTGGGTGGAAAGATGGGAAGCAAGAAGCCCGTCCACCCCAACGACCACGTCAACATGTCCGCCTCCTCCAACGACTCCTTCCCCACCGTCATGCACATTGCTGCTGTCCTCGAGCTCGAGGGTAGTCTTCTGCCTGCCCTGCGCAGCCTGCGCGACGCCCTGCAGAAGAAGGTCGACGAGTTCTCCGAGATCATCAAGATCGGCCGTACTCACTTGCAGGACGCCACTCCTCTTACTCTGGGCCAGGAGTTCTCTGGCTACGTTGCCCAGCTGGACCGCAACATCGAGCGTGTGGAGGCCACTCTTCCTCACCTCCGTCAGCTTGCTCAGGGTGGTACTGCCGTCGGTACCGGTCTGAACACTTTCAAGGGCTTCGACGAGGCTGTCGCTGCGGAGATCTCCAAGCTTGCTGGCACCGAGTTCGTGACCGCCCCTAACAAGTTCGAGGTCCTGGCCGCCCACGACTCCATCGTTGAGGCCTCCGGCTCCCTGAACACTCTGGCTTGCTCTCTTTTCAAGATTGCTCAGGATATCCGTTACCTTGGTTCCGGTCCCCGTTGCGGTCTGGGTGAGCTGATCCTGCCCGAGAACGAGCCCGGTTCCTCGATCATGCCTGGAAAAGTCAACCCCACCCAGTGTGAGGCTCTGACTATGGTCTGCGCCCAGGTCATGGGTAACCACGTCGCTGCTACTGTTGGCGGCATGAGCGGCCAGTTCGAGCTGAACGTTTTCAAGCCCATGATGATCCGCAACCTTCTGCACAGCTCCCGCATCCTGGCCGACGCCATGATCAGTTTCCAGGACCACCTGGTTGAAGGTCTCCAGGCCGACCGCAAGAGAATCGACTCTCTTCTGCACGAGAGGTATGTACTTAAAACAACTGAACCGTCTTTCTAGACGTGTATACTGACGAGATATGTAGTCTGATGCTGGTTACCTGCCTGAACCCCGTTATTGGCTATGACATGGCCTCCAAGGTCGCCAAGAACGCCCACAAGAAGGGTCTGACCCTGAAGCAGAGTGCTATGGAGCTCAAGGCTCTGAGCGAGGAGGACTTCGACAAGTACGTCCGCCCGGAGCTGATGATCAGCCCCAAGGAGAAGAAATAGACTTGATTCCATACCACTGTTATAGTAGTTTTAGGATAGCAGCCCCCTGTATATTGACAAGTTCTTGAGCCATCTGTTTTTTCACTGTTTTGGATTCGGATAAGGTTGGTAAAACCGCCGTGACAGCATGCTGTTGTATGCAATATAGAGACTTGGCGTGTAGACCGGTGCCACGATCGTCTTCAACTATAAAGTACTACTCGATACTCCGTACAGATGAACTATTGAGAAATCAGTAGCCTTGGTGGGGGAGTAGAGTAGCCAGTCCCGCATAGATCTCCATAATGCTGTTGGGAACGCGAAAACACACATTCACGTTGAAGAGAACTGCACATTTGATAATTGATAAGATTAGTGAGAAACTAACAACAGGGAACGGTGATAGAAGAGTCAAGAACTGCATAGAGGATTGGCGATAATAATGTAGCCCTGGCTAGAGTATTCTGTCTTTAGCAAGCAACTATTTTTGGAAGCAAGCGATCCTGGTCCTGGCCCAAAGAGTCGGATTATTAGTTTCAGGTACAGCAAACTGGATGGTGTGCAGAACGACGTGCAAACGCATAATAATAGTACATAGCTAAGCAATCGATAACTAGCTGAGACATGGATGCTAATCAAAGATCCAATAATGTCCAGTACCGTCTGTCGTCTTCTCCTGACGAAGTTCGTTGTGGCTGGGAGAACAGGGCGCAGGCTGGAACAAGCCGATCCAATGCGGATCCACGGGCGTGGCATGCGCCCGGCGGAGATGCTGTATATTTGCGGCCAGTTGACCTTGAAGCCCTCTTTTTCTTCCTATAGTTTCGCCTCCAGAGCTTATCATCTAGAGTAGATCAACTGCTTTCAATCCCATTGTTCTCTTAAAGTCGCTCGTTGTCCCGCTTCAACGTCGTTCGCTCTCCGGACTTTATCCCCTACTCTCACCGCATTCGCACCCCGCGGCTTCCTTTGAATTTGCCTGGTTGAGACACCGCAATTCAAAGGATCGACAAGGCCTCTTGGATCTTGGGTCTTCATTATCGATCTACTGCTTCCCTGAAGACTTCCTAATCGGTACCGCTGCGAGAAACGTTCGATTGCTCTTCCTCAAAATGTCCAGCGCCGCTGCTGTTACCATTGCGGCATCACCTTTGACCACCGCCGATTTCACCCCGGAACCGTCTCCTGCACCCTCCACCATGGCTGTCGACGAAAAGCCCCTTTTCTCTCCCACCCTCATATCTCCCGACGTCGCTGCAGCTCTGCCGGAGGGCTATACCGTCCGACCGCTGCGCCGTTCCGACTACCACAATGGCTACCTGGACGTTCTCCGGGTTCTTACCACCGTTGGAGACGTTTCCGTAGAGCAATGGAACCAAAGATACGACTGGATGTCCGTCCGCAGTGACGAGTACTATCTTCTGGTTATCTGTGATGGAACTGGCCGTGTTGTCGGTACGGGAAGCTTGATTGTGGAGCGGAAGTTCATCCACTCGCTGGGCATGGTCGGCCACATCGAAGATATTGCCGTTGAGAAGGGCCAACAGGGTAAGAAGCTGGGCCTGCGGATCATCCAGGCTTTGGACTACGTTGCAGAGAAGGTTGGCTGCTACAAGGTGCGTCAGGCATTGTTTACTCCCTGAAGATTAGACCATTTTAACTAACAAAATCTTTGTACAGACTATCCTTGACTGCTCCGAGGCAAACGAAGGATTCTATGTCAAGTGCGGCTTCAAGCGTGCCGGTCTGGAGATGGCACACTACTACTAGACTATCACGAAAAGCTGAGAGTCTAATACATTTCCATTCCACCTGTCGTCGTGGCGTTGGGCGCACGGTTCTTACTGCTGCATTTCCTGTCCTTGCACCACCTGCGGGACAAATCATACAAAAACATACGGACAAGAGTTTCAGATTCTGCTCTTGATTCCATCTTTTCGTCTTCATCGCACATGCTATCTCTGCAGAATCGCTCCATGTCTTGGGGGAAAGTGGGTTTCTAGCGCAGTTGCGCCGCTGCTTTCCATATCCGGCGACGTTCTCTGTACAAGCTTAACTTTTTTTTCCCTCGCGGGGAACCCCGGTGGCCAGAACTTATGGACGGTCGCCACACCTTTTTTTCCCTTTTATCATGTTGGAAAATATAGGCGTCGATCTCATCGCTTGTTATTGCTTTTCTGATGGGCTGTCTGGAGTGATGGCCCTCGATGGGCTCTCAGGACAAGGTCTTCGCAGGTCGCCACACGCTGGTTTCTTCACCAGCGTGGCAGGTCTCATTTTCATTTTCCCGGTTCACTCAATGATTATAGAACCTAGATTATGCACTTTGAAATAGAAATATAGAAGTTCATTGCAGGAAACTCCAAGACAGTCTTGTCAACGGCTTGCCACGCAGCAGTAGAATGCTACCCGTACTTATCTTCTAAGAGCCGCAGATATAACAGTAGATTTACGTAGATGTCAGCACGCAAGTTGCTATGAGCTTGATTTGGCATGCAATGCAGAGCGCACCTAAGCCTACGTCGAAGAATATGGAGGGAAAGGACCATCATACAGAGGTCGACCAATAGCTCTTGGAATCTCTTTCTAGATTTCTCTCTCAAAGGGACTCCGGGACTGGCTAGGAAGGAAAAACACTGATCCAGAGAAAAGACAAGGAGAATAGTGACATAAAATGCCTTTGATTTGTTTCCATCAAGAAAAAACGCCCCCCATCATCTCCTGTTTTCCGAACCGCCCATTCCTAGACGCTGATGATTTGCCTTGCTTTTCCCCTTTCCCTGACGGTACCATTCCTCACCACGCTCGGTTGTTCGTGTGTTTCACGGTCCCGCCAGTAGAGAAAAAAGAGATTTGCCCATTTAACCCATCATCGTGACCGTCATTGATGTGTCATCCTCTCTCGAAACCCTGAGGATGGAGTCGTTTACGAGGTAGGGTTGGGGTTCATCTGTAGGAATTTTTGTCAGCAACGGACCCCTCTTTGTCGTAGGTTCTCCCATCACCGATGAGACGGGAGGGAAGATGCATCACGACCCATGTGCATCGATGATACAGCATGGCCTCTCCGTCTCATCGATGAGAGACATGAGGACTATCCGAACGTACCTTTCTCTTTCCACCAGTCAGAGTAACGTTGACGAAGCGGCGAGTGTACAAGAGACGCTTCTTGGCGCGGCCCTTGGGGACCTTCTTCTTCTCCTGCTTCTCGACCTATATTTCCCAGCCCGATCAGTACTTCGTGTCCTTGCCCGTGTCCTCTTCGGATTCCATCATTCCATCGCTGAAAACTTTTGCAACCGGATTTTCATCGTCGAAAAAGAGTCGTTAACGCACCTTAGGAGTAGCAGACTTGACCTTGCCCGCACGGGCGAGAGAGCCGCTAGAGTCATCGTCAGCACACAAATCCCATCGCGAAAAGAAATCGGGCACAGTTCTTCATCTCAGGAAGTGTGCCTGGATCGAGGGTTTGGAGTAGGTTGTACTTACTGAACCTTACCCATGATGGATTATGACGGTTGGGTTGTGATGGAAAATGGGTTGTCGGAACGGTGGGTTGTCGAGGGAGAGAGATATCTGCACTATGGGGGTGCAGTCTTGTGTTCGGAGGCGAATTCCCGAGTGGATTATGTCAGATTTATCGTTGGTGCCTGAGGGTTCAAAGAAATTTGAACACGAGTTTTTGTCCACTCAAGTAATAAAATATCGTGAATTAATGAGAAATATATATTCTAAATGATAGTATACTCTAGAATACTCAAAAGTTATTTCATAACACCACGTTGAGAGCCCTCTAATGGGAGGTATAACGCACCTGTACGTGGATGCCTTACCGGGAATGATAGGGTTAAGCCCTGAAGCTCATGGTTAGGGTTTAGTAAGCGGCGCCTTGCAAGTTGCGGAGAAGCCTAGAAGAGTCACCTAGGCTTAACTGGAAAAACCGACGTATGCGGAGGGCATTAGGTGGTAAGTGTACTTACTTATTCTTGCCTTATGAACACACGTATGCACTGAATATCAAATGATCTCTAGAGAAATAAATATAGCCCGTACTCATAGATAGATACAGAGATCCGCTTACAAGATTCGGTGCAAAACAGGCAAGTATGCGGCTACTTTGATCCATAGATGTCACTAGTAGTGACGTTGAAGTAATGGTATCAGAAGGACATAGAATAATATCAAATCGAACAGGTTACGAGGTCTCTTTACTAGATACGATCCCTTACCATATACTCGCTACATCCACAGGAAGGAAAGAAAATGCACTGTCGATAGAACGGATATATTGATGACATTAGTCAATTGGAGACAGTCCGTAAACTCCTCGTGGAATCTACTGGCCAGAGCCATGAAAAGCCATCATTTCACATCCATTCCATTCCAGCGAAAATAGTATGGCGCGCGATGATAGGCCTGTTTCTAAGAGCCGAGCGCGATGTTCAATCCGCAAGAACCCGTCGCCCATGTGTTCATCCCATTTTTTATCGTGAGGAAATCAGTCCAGCTCCAGAAAATCCCAGCATATGCTACTCAATTCTCCATCATACCCCACCCAAGAACAGACAACAAGTTCGTTTAACGAGACTTGGCGGCAACCTTGGGAGCGGCACCCTTCGCACCCTGCTTGCTCTGGATACGGATCTTGCCCTGGGCGGCGCTGGCGGCGTTCTTGGCCTTCTCGGCCTTCTTCTTGCTCTCAGCAGCAGCCTTCTTCTCCTTGGCGTCCTTGATGGCAGCCTGGCGAGCGGCGGCACGGGCCTCGGGGCGCTGGCTTCGTCGCTCCTTGATCACATCGAGAGAAGCACCGACGATAGCACGCTGGCTCTTGACGACACGGCGGGTACGCTTCTTAGCGACTTCCTGTAAATTGAAAGATATCCCGTCAGCTTTTGTCCGATACAATGCTTTGCATCATCCTCCAATTTCTCCAATCGTAAGCGGTCCTTCCCGAATCCCACAACAATTCCATATCCTCTGCACGTTTCCCATTCCTCGCATAATATCGACAAATAAATCATAAAAGGATCGGATTGTACTGACTTCAGAGATACCCTTCTTGTGCTGGCGACGGTATAGGGTGGTCCAGGCAATGCGGCGAGGGTTCTTGCGCTGGAGGAAGAGGGACTCGGACTTTCCATTCTGGAAGCGGAAGATCTTGCTGTCGCCACGGACGTACAGCTTACCCTGTAATCAAGACAGAACTGTTAACGAATTGTCCCTCCATATCACTAGCTGCTGCAGGAGCAGTCCATCTCGCGTCCTCGTTGCGGATTCGATGTCCGGTCGGAAGGCGTGCACTGGCGAATGTTTCGAGGGAAAACGCACCTTTCCAGGGTAGATCTTCTCACCGCTGAAGCTATCGTCGTAGGTACGCATCTTGAATGTTGGAGATGCGCAGCCGCTCGAGACGAGTTGTTGTCGGTTGGCGTTGGGTGGTTGAGTCGAATCGTCTTTGCGGCGAGCCGATCGTGAGACTGACACAATTGTGGTGCGGTGCGGGCCTCGCTAAAGTGCGGCACGTGACCCCGTCTGCCCTTGGCCGTCGACTGACATCAACTTCCATCTGCTATACTGACAACTCGAAGACAGTAGTAGACGGTGCTGTCGTTGATTCTACAAACAGGATTTTGGAGATCATCTATTGATGCATTTGATGTATTATTCTTAAAACTCTCCACACATCTATGTTCTCGTCGTATCCTCAATCTCTTCACCCTTCTTCCCATTCCTCTAAGTATGTGCTCACCCATCCAAAGATAGCACTGACTGCGACTGGCTGTTTGGGTTCTGACACCTACTCGTGCCAGTCGCAAGGTGCCCACGGATCGGGCTTGCACACCTATAAGCACTGTCAGATCTACCTCTTATGTTTTAAAGACCATTTCCAACCTACCTTACACTGGATGTCCCGGCATCCTACTATCGGGCAAGCGCCGCAACACTCGGGGCATACGAACTTGCCGCAGCCCCCAGGAATGGAGCACTTCGAAAATGTGCTTACATCTTTGGCCAAGGGACCAAAGCAGTCGATAACAGCGAGGAGCTTTCGTGCATCCTCCCGTTTCCTGATCCAGCTGGCCTTGGTGTTATACGTGCGACGTGCTGCTTCATATATACAGCACGGCCTCTGGCATACCGCACACGGCGAGGTACATACGATACACCTCAGGTTTTTGGCATACCAATGCCGGTCATCGTGAACTCCGCGCGTGGGCTCGTCGCCGTCCAGCGAGTGTAGAATCACCTGGGTCCCGGTGACCTGTCGGACGTACTCCAGCTATGATCCTATTACTAAAGTACAGGGCAGGAAAAGTAGATGCAAGACTTACTTTTCCTTGGAGTGCGCAGCCCTGCAAAGTGTCGTCACCCTCCCCTAAGAGAAGTTGGCCTTGGCCGGTCAGATAATACGTGATAGTATTCTCATTGTAGGAACTCACCATGCTTTGTCTTTCCCCCGAAGCTGCGCCTCTTTATTGACATTTTGTCCTTTGTGACCTTCTTCCCCCTTTCCAACCTTTTGCGGGCCATTTCCGCAAGTAATTGTCCCCCTGTGGCATTTAGAGGTATGCCCGACGTATTTTCATCTCCTGGGTTCGAGGGTATCCCTCTGTGTGACAGATCACCTTGCCCCTCGGCTTCGGTCTTCCTCGTCTCCAAGATCAGCTTACGGGATCCAGGAACCCTCCATGATGCTGATTGAGTGAAGCCTAATGGTCGTATGTCATCTGTAGCATCAGACTTCAATGAGCCCTGTTGATAATATCGTCTGAGACATTCTGGGACGAGGTCCCCAGAAGGAAGACGTACGATGACTGTATTAGAAGGCCTTTGACATGATCCTGGAAATTGTTGCTGACGTGTGTTGCCGCCTTCAGACACAGCCCTGTTAGTAAAGGGGAAAGTAAACCTTTGGCGGTTAGGAACCCTTGAGTATGGCACTTCTCCAACTATATTTGGGGCTGTTGTACGGGTAGTCTGGCCGAGAACTTCGAAGCGCCCATCGGTCGTACGTGAACGAAGTCTCAACGACTGAAACTTCGGAAGAAGGCTTTCCGGTGATTTCACGTGCTTCATGAATCTATTTGAGAGGCTGTGATGAACAGGGGAGCTCTTCTGGACATGATTGTGCCTTCTCGCGGATGCTTCGCTGCCTTTCTTCATCGGTTCCGCTATTTCTGTTTTCGATTGTAGAATTGGTGTGCTTGTCTTCGCAGGTTGAGTATTTCCTAAGCTCTGTCGATGAAATCGTGACCCTTTTCTCACCATATTGCGTGGGAATTCCTTGTTTGGACCAGGATCAATGGCAATTGATCTGTTTAGAGTCTCCATGTCCCCTTTAATGGAGTGGAATTTATGTCCAAATTTCCAAGACTGCCACCAGGAGCGATACGATTCGCATTCCGGGGTCTGTCGACAGTTGTCTGATGCGTTACTGTTGAAGGACAGTGTCAAGAAGAAGTGTTTCAGATATGAATACTTGGAAAGCTGCCTTTACGGGGACAACTATTCTGATTCTTGAACTCAGGAGATATGACTTTCAGTGTCGAGGTGTGAATTCCAAGCTGATTAAACAAAGGTGCAGTTCATAGGAAAATGAACGAGTAGTACTAATATCTAGCTGATCTAGGTTGTATCCCGAGAAGCAAGTCTCTTTGGAGTTCTGGGATAGCCACCCTTGGACCAGACACAAGAAGGCTTACTGCCATTCACAAAGTAAATTCAAAAGAAGAATTCATAAGAAGAATGAGCCCTCAGAAAGAGGAGCAGAAGGTGCAAAGACAACGCCGATACATATGTTTGTCACAACGAATAAGTGACGTTGGCGTTACCACCCCTGTGAATACCAAGTGAATATTCCTAACCTTGAAGAAAAGCGTTCGAGTTGACGGAAAGTCCAAAAGTTTGTCTGGATTTAGATCCAGTGCAGATAAAGGACCTATGTCTTGCTGGAGAGTGGACTGTAAAGCCCGTGGAAAACTCGCGTGCTAGCTGCACGGGAAGAACTGGCACACGAATCGCTCCTAGGAGTTTGAAGAGACGTTTTTATGCGTAGGTTTGTTCCGCTGGCTCGAGTAACATGCCGAAGAAGCCGGTGCGTTGACCTTCTAACCAACACTGCGACGTCTCCTGACACTTAGACTGTTGTTATCTCTCCGCCGCGATCCAAGGTGACGATGACGCGGGCGTCCTCTCTCCTCAAGGACGTCATTGGGAGGTTCTGGTTCCACGGCGCTCAGCTTCACTCTCATTTCAATATCATGGTCATAATGGTGCCTAAACTTACCGTTGCGTACAACACTGAATGAGGGGGTTGAGCTTGGGTGACTAGAATTGGTTATTAAATTTCCCTGATCTTTGGTTGAGAGTCTGACTAACACTGAACGAGGCGCATTTTCGAAATTCATATGCTCTTCGGGGGAGCTTCTGTGCTTGATTGCTGCGAGGATACGGATCAGCAATTCACTGCAATTCTGCTTCCATTTGCCCAGCTGGTAGGCAAATTTGCCGGTTATCCCGCATCCACAATCATCATAGCTTGGGTCTCTAGCTTCCCCGAGAGAAGAGAAGAAACGTTCGTAAACGCGTTGTCTGCCTTCTAGGGACTCAAGTTGGAGACGTGCGGCACGAATACGGCGACGACGATCCCTCGAACGGCGAGCGGATCTGATCTCGCGGAGTCCCCCCTGATTATTTATAGCGTTAGTCCAATCGTGTGTCAGTCATCATATGGGAACTATTGGCCTACCACGCTAGCATTAGGGTAGTCGAAAACTGCAGGAGTCGGCGGCAGAGCAGTGATTCGTTCTCCCTCGCTGATATCGGTATTTCCATGGGCTAAATGGAGTGAAGTCAGTCCACATCATTTGGCCATGGGCAAAGGGGGAAATATAGCCTTTGCTATACTCGGCGGGCTCCTCGGTACCTTGATCCATGACGCTCATATGCAGTCGGAGGTCTCCTCGAAGTGATTGTCCGAAGCGAAGATAGATCTTTGTTCCTCTTGTTCCTCAGTACCGTGACACGTACTCAAGGCTCACTGACCGAAAGGAGTCAAGGGATTTGAGATCGAGAGAGAGAAAAACTAGAGACTGAAAGAGCGTTACACGTTCGTTCACGACACACGTCCAGAAAGACCTGTCTATTCTGGAGGCCAACTGAGTTCAAGGATGTCTGCCAGAATTTGGAGATAAGTCCGCATGAAATATGACTCTATATCCAGTCTGAATGCAGATAACAATCGTCAGAGGTGAGCGAGTCCGATGCAGACTGCGGCCAAGCCTAGCTGTATGCAGAGAAAGAGACCCCTGAGGAGAAATGGGAGAGAAGAACAGAGGCGGAGGGGTAGAGGAACACTCATGCCTAGATGTCCTACGTGTGGATCTACGTGGACAATAAGGGTTAGCATCGATTATGTCGTCAATCGATTATGTCGTCGATATCATCGGGGTCAACAGATTGTATACAAAGCGGCAGATCGTGATCTCAGGTGCGTAAACGACCGGGGTGAATCCAGAAAATACAGATCCATATAACAGTTTCACATTACAGGGGACCGAAATGCACTAACTGGAACAAAGGAGTCCTATATATACCTACTGTTGTTCATAGAGAGGTCAAATCTAGCTCTATATCGAACACCACACGCCAGAAATCCAGGAAATGAACGATATTTATGCACTACAGATGACACTGACGTGCGTAGGATTGTCTCTTTGTCAGCATTGGCAGTTTAATGCCACTGGAATAGCATTTAGCACAGATGATCGTCAATGTAGGATGAGTTCTACATGTATTGAATCAGATCAATCATCCTAGCATGCAGAATTTCCAGAGTCAGGACTTAGGGGAAGGAAATAGAGAAAGCTTGAGCATGGCATATCTGGGACACCGACGAAATCAAGCGAGCAACAGCATATCATATCAGTTTTCCATAGGCGTCCACTTCGTACACTTCCTCATGGCGTCTTGTAGCTTCTTGGTACCATAAGACTGCTTATCTACTATCTTAGCCATGGTCTCTATACCATAGTCTGGTATGCAGTCACCAAGATTGCTCTAGATGACTTGGGTCGGCGCGCTATTCCAGAATCCAGAATCCTCATTGAATTAGTGGTCACTATTCGTAGTTTTTCTGGTTTGAAAATGTTCTATACACAGGCAATTTATTTCATTTATAGGTAGGTATTATCTGCCATCAAAAGTACTACTGTCCTGGGGTAACGGAACAATAACATCTATCTAGAACCATGGAGGTTAGGAGTCTACGGGAAATAGAGGAACCCTTCACACAGAAAGTAAGGCAAGCTTATCATGTATCGTGGGATGAAACCCCCAGAAGAAATAGTCTAAGGAGGTAAACCGGCAAGTGTGTATGATCTAGAGATGTAATATCTTAGATACAGCTCATTCTCCAGCACTGGTAACTTCTGCTATATCAATATATTCGAGCTCTACGGTTCTACGCGGAGTCATACGACGTCATCTTACAACTCTAGGTATCTCTAACTCTCAGAAAAGAGAAGGTGCAGTTATGGCCATCCCCAACAACATTCCCTTATATGGGAATCTGGACAAGATATTGTAAACATGGACCGGTAGATTCTACGTGAGAACCATGAAACTAGCTACATAACATAACTAAACCGCAAGGCTCCCCAACAGCTCTTGGTACTGTGCAAGTTCGGAATCGAGGTTTAGGCTAGAAATTTCTGGGAGGATATGCCCGATTTACGAGACAAAGAGAAGCAAAACAGGACATTTCCTGCTTAACGCCTCAAGCCGGCAAGGTCGGGGAACATGGGCAAAATAGCAAAAGTAAAAGAAAATTTCAACTCTTTTTTTAACACCGCCCCGTCCCACAGCAAAAAAAGATGACCATCCATATGGCGTACTCGATAACTCTAAAAGCGTAGCAAAGTATGTAGATAGAAAGTAGAATGGTTCAGAAGGCGCTGAGGAAATGTCTTTCACTTAATTGGAACCGGATAGGTCTTGGTTGTTTTCGTGATCACATCAGAGGTCGTCGATATGTTTCTAGTAGTCGCGACTGGTTTAAGAAGAACAATAGTCTGGGCTCTAGGTCATAGCGTGCGTCCTCGTCCACTCCCTAGCAGTCTGAATGGCTGCAGGCTCGTCTTCCTTCCAACGCTGGGCAACGTCATTTGCGAGAGGATCATCTGGGTTAGGAGCTCCAAGCAGAGCCTGGATAGAAAGGAGGATAGTGCGGATCTGCAAAGCCGGTGACCAGTTGTCTTGATAGATGTTAGTCTCATACCACTGGAACAAGAACAATTACCGGAAGTCTTACTCTTCAGCACATCCAAGCAGATTCTACCGAGTCGGTCAATGTTGGGATGATAGATCTTCGTAAGGAAGCGGATCTTGGGAGGAGTCATAGGGTAGTCGTCTGGCAAAAACAGCTCAAGCCTAAAGATACCTCCTGCATCGGGGTCAGCTGGAATCCCCCAATGAATTTCTACATTGGAACACCTACCTTCGTAAGGAGACTGCGCGGGTCCATGGATCGTGACGTCGAAATATCGCAGATTATCTTCATGAGGCACAGCATTGATTCCAGGGACCCTGTGAGTATTCCGTCAGTGAGCAAAAGCTCCTAGAATGATTGCTGATACTGGATATAACTCACGGTTCCGCCATTAGGCGTTCCGTCTCCTTCACTATTCTCTTTGGCAAGGCCATTTTGTCGGTATAAAGGACGGTTCAAACAGCTTAGAACGAATAAGCTGTTAAGACAGCGAATGTTGCTTTACAATAAAGCAACAAGTTCTTCCCTTCCGAAGCTGCGGATTTTGTCCCCACTCTGCAAGAGAAGCAGTGCACCTCCGAATGTGCTGGACGTCACCAGTTGTGGTGCAATTTAAGCTCTTTCTAAAAGAGTGAGTTATGGATTATGGTGAATAGATGGCAGACGTGAAGCTGATAAGATATTACCAACAGCAGCTCCGCCAGACTTCTTCAAGGTGAGGAACGTAACAGAGGAGGGGCATCCAGCTCTGGTCTGTTCCGCCTCCCGTAGTACAGCCCACTATCTATCCGGTGGCCGATACGAGCTTTATGTGCAGAAGATATCACGTGCGGTGATCCATGCCTTCTCCACAATGTTGACCGATTATCCCCATACAATCGCTGAAGCTCGGACTTCATCTTCAAAAAGGTTATGTTGACTAGATCAACCATTTCCTTTTACTCAATTGCACCATAGCTTTGCCCAATGCACTTGCGAATATCTGATCTCCCCATGTTCTTCTAGGTACCACGCATCTTCCGTTTTATTTTCTGGGCCGCACGATGAAAACCCATCACCAAAGCGACTGGATACCAGGATCAGCCTAGCCTCACTATCGAATACTGCAACGGATAATCGATATGAGACAGCCGCACATGGCTTCTTTCCACGGCTCTCTACCTTCGTATTCGCTCTGCCGTGGCGATCGATCGGCATCTTGAGGGTCCCCGTACTCACAACTGCGGCCTTACGGAACGGCATTGTATCTAGAGGAGGCAGACTGTCAAAATGTCTAGCCCGGCAGATTCAAAGACGTCGAAGACGGTGGCTTCAGCCTTTGAGAGTCCAACCTTTGGCGAAGACAGTTCGTTCCATGTGGAGCAGCCAGTCGGCTCCGCGTCAATATCTCCGTGTGGGCGCGATGTCGTTCTTGCCTCGAAGGAAGGCCTCCATATCATCGACCTTGATTCTCCTTACTCGCCCCCTCGATATCTCCCTCATCATACACCCTGGGAGGTTGCAGACGTACAATGGTCACCGTTCGCGGTGCGCGATTACTGGGTTGTGAGTACGTCGAACCAGAAGGCACTGGTATGGAACTTGGCCATGAAGTCGCATGAGAACTCCATTGAACATGTACTACACGCTCATTCCCGCGCAATCACGGATATCAACTTCTCGGCTCATCATCCGGACACGCTTGCTACTTGTGGTGTTGATAGTTTCGTGCATTGTTGGGATCTCCGGACTCCTGCAAGACCTGTCGTATCATTCTCTGATTGGTTTGCTGGTGCAACTCAAGTCAAGTGGAATAGACAGGACCCCCATGTAATTGCAAGCTCTCACGATAAATTCCTCAGAATCTGGGACAAGAGAATGGGTGCAACGCCGATCAAGTCTATTGAGGCGCACAGCACAACGATTTACGGCGTTGACTGGAACCGAGTTCGTCCTGGGGCGGTTACTACCTGCTCCCTAGACAAAACGATCAAATTCTGGGATTACACTGCTGAAGGTGAAGTCCCCGAAAAGGTAATCAAGACACCGTTTCCGGTTTGGCGGGCTAGGAACACACCTTTCGGCTGGGGGGTGTTAGCTATGCCGCAGCGTGGAAACAGTGATCTCCATCTATATAGTCGTCGAACGCCTGAAGGAAACCAAATATTTGACCCGAACCAGACCCTTTCTTTGGTCCATAGCTTCCCCGGCCATAAGGGCCAAGTCAAGGAATTTCTATGGAGAGCTCGTGGATCTGTCATGGATGGCATCGACCACAGAGATTTCCAACTTGTCTCCTGGGGCACTGACAGGGAACTCCGCTTGCACAGGGTCGATCCGGAGGTATTAAGGGCTGTTGGATATGAGAAAGGAAAATCGTTTGTCCCGACCTTGAACATCACGCGCAAAGGTGCCGTATACAAGACCTACCGTGATGAGCCTCTGGACCAGGATTTTACCGAATTATTTGAGTCTGAGCCTGCCCTGTCGTCAGGACCTCGGACTACAGGTCAACATCGCCCACGGACCGGCGGAGGCATAGCCATGAATAATGTCTCGCTGCGTTCTGCTCGTCCGTGGACACAGGGTGGCCAGCTGGATTCAAGAGTCGGCATGCAAACACGCTCCAATATCAGGGCCGATACGAATCCCATCGCTTGGATGCGGGGTGTAAAAATATCCGGCTGGGACATCGAGACTCTCGGTGACGAAATAACACATGTAGGAGAGAGATTCACTAAAGTTGTCTTTGAGTCTGTCGATATCAGACAGCGCAAGACAACGGTTTCACTCCATGGGCCATGGGGGCCCGAAGGAGCTTCTCTATTCTTGAAGGTGGACATCAAGTTTCCCAGCGAATATCCCCGAAGTGCTATCCCGACCTTCAATATTCAAAGGACGACATCGGTAACTGATCAGCTGGCGAACAAAATTGCCTCAGAGCTACGCACGATCGCAGAAATTTATCTTGCGAAGAAACGTGGTTGTCTAGAAGGCGTACTGCGATATCTACTAGGAGAGTGCAATCTCGAAGAAAGCGTCGCCTGGGTTCTCGGTGAGACTGCAGAGACAGTCAAGTCGCCAGTCACGGGCACAGTGGAAGGCGAAGAATCAAGTGACGAAGATGAAGAGGTAGGCCAATTCCAGAACCAGGATCTGGGTATGAGCTCCGAGCTTCTTCGACCGGTGAACGCGAATGTCATGGTCCCCGTTGCGAAGGCATGTGGTGCGCTTTGGGCCAACGATGGTCGACTTGTCTGCTTCTTCCCACCCAAAAAGGACAGGCAGAGTGCTGTGTTTGATACCCTTGGCTTCAGCGCCATGACCAGGCTGTCTCGAGCCGACAAAGTCTTTGAAGGGTTCGGTCGCCTTCAAACGAGCTCACCGGGTCCAAGGACAACGACCGGTACTGGCACGGGCACGGGCACGGGAACGAATACCATCACAGACGATGGCACCTCAGACTATTCCGACGATTCCTCCGTCGCATCATCGAGTTCATCCGGGTCCTCGGGCCTTCTTACAGGCCTCCCAAGTCGTTTTCCGGCGCCCCAAACCTGGCGTAGTGCCGGAAGTCTGGGATTCCGTCAGGCACGTTCTACAGACAACTCCCAGAAATCTACGAATGGCGGTGGTCCTCAGAGGTCATCGGATGCACCGCAGAACATCATTTCGATCCACGATTTTAACTACCTGTTGCCAGCAAAGAGGGAGTTGGCTGTCCAGTATCGTATCTTTGGGAAGGGTGCTGATGTTTGTGCTCATAACGCAGCTGTGGCCGCAGATGCAGGATACCACGACCTAGCTCAAGTCTGGGGTCTGATTAGACTGATACTGCACAATCAGGTCCCCAACGAGCCAGAGCTTCAGGCTGATATTCCTACGATCGCAAGACTTGCAACTACTGGTGACATGAAAAGAAAGGATAGTGGGGTCGATTTGAGCTACGATAACCCCAAGGCCTCACCAGATGTTGCAACCTCTAGCAATATCCGATGGGGAGAACACCCGCTCGGTGGTCGCTGGCTTGTTCCTGCCCTCTTTGATCACTTCGAAAGGATCGGAGATGTGCAAATGCTTGCGATGCTTTCTTCCATTTTCCATGAATCTGGGACTAGGAGGAATGCTTCTCCTAGACTGCATCGCCGAGATAATACAACATCTGCCCATATAGAGGACCCTAGTTTCTCTTTGGACTTCAACTATTCCAAACCAACATCCCATAGATCACAAGTCACGACTCCGATTACAATTGCGTCGAGAGATAGCCACAATACCTCGGGCGTCCAGAGCCCTCGTCGTTCATCTGCAGAATTCTTGCGAAGTGACTTCACGCCACCTTATTCCACCGGTACAACGCCTCCAGTTGCGTCTCGTGCAGGGGCTGTAACGGCAGACAGGAAAAGTAACATCCAAGGTCTCTCGATTTCAGCTTCTCCAGACCAGCACTCGGTTCCCCGAAGCAGCTCTGGTATCGGGTCGGCCCTGGCATCATCCCTATCGCGATCCTTTACCTTCGGACCATCATCAGCTTCACCTCCCGCAAGCACTCTCAAGCAAAAGAGGCCAAGTCCCAATGGCAGCCTGAACACTTCAGCTGGGCCAGGAGCATGGACTACTAGCGGGTTTTTCAGTCGGGCTGCGTCAGCGATTCCTGATTATTTGACAACATCTGGCACGATGACATCACAAGCTCAGTCTGATACCGAGAGTGAGAGACGTCCCCAGCTCGCGAAACAGCCTATGAGAATGAAGATAACGTTCAAAAACCAAGACTCGTTCGACAGCGATGGAAATAGTCACAACACATTCCTTGACAATAGGAAAGATTGGCTCTATGGCTCCTATCGCGCTGCGTACGCTCATTTGTTGTTTATTTGGGGGCTGCCAATTCAGCGCAGTGAAGTGCTTAAAATAAATAGGATAACAGACAGTGCTACTCCACGCTTCAGCCGTCATGGCTCTCGCAGTCCTCGGGCGTCCATCTCCCTCCCGTCCTCTAAGCGCAAGGAGTCACCTGCACCTCTCCTTACTGAAGCAAATCGGGGGTTGGACATTCAAAAACATTGCACCAACTGTGGTTTTGCTCTACAGCTATCTGTTTTTGCTACTTCCTCAAAAAAGAATGCGGCAAATGGCAAGACCGCTACGAACCAGTCGGCCTTGAAATGTCCGAACTGCAAGCCAGTACAGCCATTGCCCACGAGACTCCCATGCATCATATGTGGTGAGATTGTGGACGGGATGTTTACGCCATGTCTCAACTGCGGGCATCTCAGCTGCTTCGAATGTCACCAGCTATGGTTCTCCAGGCCTCCTGACGAGTTGACGGGGGCCAGCACACAGAATATAGAACAAAAAGACAGCACCGGTGTGCAGTTCTGCCCCAGCGGTTGTGGCTGCAACTGTTCTGAACATGTGGTGTACAAAGTGTCTCTCCCTCCCAGTCTTACTCCCGGGCATGAGGGCGATAGTAGACACAGCTCGAGAAGCAGATCTCGTCGCAGGTGGACTGAAATTGCCCCTGGCAGTTCTTCTCGGGTGTCGCTTAACGCTGGTCATGACCAAGATGACCTAGAAATCTTTCGTTCTTCACCATTTGCATCTCTTGCGAGAGGCTTGGGTGCTGGATTAAGCCGCGGCCTGACTTCTAAGGATGAAAAGAAGGAATCTTCAGCACCAAACGCCACTAAGGAAAAGAAGAGCAGTCACCGACCAACGCGAACGATGCGCTAATAGTTAATCATTGCTACAATTACACAGTGAGACATGACATGCAGCCTTTATAGACGTGGTTCTTTGGTCGTTCAATTGAGCTGCTTTACGCTTTCATTTCTTCTATCTTGCATTTTTAGCGCGGCGTTGGATTGGCCCTTACCACCGGAAGAGCAAACCACTGGATAATTTAATGTACTATCGACGTACTGTCAATCTCTGGTTAGGTCTATGTTGCATATGTACAGTAATTAGTGAGCTTGATGATACCTATGATTGGAATATGCGTGATTGCGGAATCGTGGTTTTGCAGGATGACGTGTCGATTAGATCTCGAAGCCCGGTTCAATACCAACACGAAGCCAATGCTGATATTATTGGTCTCGTCCTGTTGCATACGTTGGACCAGTGGCATTCTGGGAGACAGTAATATTGTAGTCTTAATCTATGCTGGGTAGATTTGGACCTAGCTGTCATCAGTAACCGAAAATATATATTCTATCTTCTGTCAAATATATCCGGCTATCATCCTGTATATGTACACAACCCAACAGAGTCTAGACGATAGTCACCCTTCTTACACATATATACAAAAATATATTATCATAGTCCATAAAATTTGACGCACTCAAAATCCATCACCTATCGCCCTCAACGGTATATTCTTCGGCACAACAAAAAGCGCCGTAGCCTCAACACAGAGCTTTCCTGTCTGATCACGAACTTCAGCCGTCATATGAGCTTTGCGATCCGTGCTCAATATCGGATCTAGCGTCGCCTGAATGGTGTAATAAGATCCCGAGGAAACTCGAGCACGGTAGTTGATGTTGAGATTGGCCGTAACACCCGTTTTGGCAGGGAAGCTACGAACAGCGACTCGGCCGAACGTCTCATCTAAAACAGTTGCGAGGGCGCCGCCGTGCACAACGGTGGGCCAGCCTTCTAGACCACCGCCGAAATAGACGACGTTTATGATGCTCTTTTTCTTGTCGTTGTAGAAGAGTTTCTGGGTTTACCAATGTTAGCTCAATCCGTTCATTTCTTTTTTTTCCCCGTCGTCAAGCAGTGTTTCAATGGAACAAAAGCAGCGACATGAAAATCGGAAAGAAAAGATGAACCTATAACTAACCTGCAACGCCAACCCCCTACTCCCCTTCAACGACCCCGACGTCAACCGATGTTCTTTCTCCTCATCTGAAAAATTGCTATAGGCCGTCCACTCTCCTCCAAGGTCCGGATCATTTCTTAATGCCTGCACGACCGGTAGAAATTCATATTCCCTCTCTATCCTTTTTCTCCACGTAATGTCTTCTTCCGTATCAGGTACCGGAGGGGAGGCTATTAGCTTCTCTATTCCGCTACCGAGCGATAGGCCCAGACCACCAAATATGGCGATGTAGAGTAAGTTGCGGAGGCGACGCGATCGAGTAGATTTTTGCGATTGCGATTGTGAGGGCGGTGCAATTGGGGGTGTCGCTGAGCTATTGCATCTTTTCGAGAGTAGCTGTCTTGTTGGTCTTAGTGATAATGCCAACGGCCGTTGTGGATATATCTGCTTTAATAATGGAGCTTGAAAGCTCCGTGCAAAGGGCATCTTTGCTGCGAGTATCGTCAATGCTGCTGGTCGCTGTCGCCTGCGGAGGACTGAGATATTGTCTGACGAGCGTTCGGAGAGTCTACCGAGGCATAATGCCCAAGGTCACGTGGCGTGGATTTGGAGATCGCGGGGAATATTGTCAATGGGTCCTTGATCTACTCGGTACATTGGAACATATTAGCTATAGTTGAGGGCCAAGTCTAACAAATTACGAATGAGTGTCTTTAAGATATAAAGGCTACTCCTCGTAGAAGTATTTCTTTATTACCATACAACATGGTTGGATCATAATCTAAATCAAGTTCGTATGTTCTAACTCGTGATTTTGGTTCATCTAAACGCATCATATCATGGTGAGGTGAATCTGCAGTGGATTTCTCAAGAAAGCGACAATCAAATCATGCTGCAGCATTGCTGAAACGACGAAGAGCGCATAATGGGGCGATCACTGCTGGATCTCCTCGGCAGTCGGGAGATCAATGGCGCGGTAAAGGAGGATCAATGCAGAATGCGACTCACCTAAAACGATATCAGCAATGGTAAACAGACATAGGTCGGAATCGAAAAGCACTTACCACCGCCAGAAAGAGTCTCAATCTTATCAGCCTCTACCTCCGTCACTTTCTCATCGTTGAACCACCACCACTTGCCATCTTCCTCGCGTCTCTTTCCGCCTGGAGCTCTAGGGTCGTCGACAAGGCGTCCTTGCTTCTTCACGTACGCGGTGTAGTGGCCGCTATCGGCACTGGCTCCTTGATGGGTAATGACTCCGCGAAGTTCATACAGGCCCGATTTGTTCGATCCCTCGTCCGTGGCAAGTTTCGGGTCGATAAGTTCAAAGAGCTCTTTCTTGGCCTTGAGAATCGAAGCTGTTCTCTCAGCCTCAAACTCCTCGTCCGACTTGAAGACGTCAGTCATTCCAGTGTCCATATCCTTCGCCTCAGGCTTCTTCTCAGACTCCTTCTGCTCCTCCGCAGCCGCCTTCTTCTGTAATGGCTCGACAGGGCCACCTGCTCCGGCGTTGGCGGCTTCCTCGCGCTGGTGAGCAATCTTTTGTCGCTTTCTAGCTCGCTCGACGTCCTGCTCATCCTTGCGAATCTCGCGGACCTTGTCCCTAACTGGGATAAGTTGCTTCTGGAGCGTTTCCGTGCAGAATTCCACAGCATCGAGCTCTGCAGGGAAAGTGACCTTGCGCATGATCTTAGCCTTCTTCTTGGTTTCACGCTTCCAGAAGAATCTGACAAAGTGCACAGTCAGGTACTTAGGCAAGCGAGAGATGCGCGATCGCTTCGTATAGCTTGCGTCTCGGCCCAGTGTGGGCGAGTTTTTCTCTATTTTCTCCTCGAGACCATCCAGAATGCCATCACGGAGGTGGTTGGTTTCCTTGTTGATGTGACAGTCTAATTTCAAGAAGGAATCGGAAGTTTTCACGGGTTCCTCGCCTGCCTCCTTGGCCGCCGCTTCATCACACTCAATAACAGATTCCATCTGACCAGCAAGATATTTATCTATGAACGAGATGTCGCCTTCGCCTTCTTTGATTATCAGCCTGTGGCGCAACTGACTGATGATCTGCGACCACGCTTCTTCCGCATCCTGCTGGGCATATCCATGGCCGTGCTCGGCCTTCTGTGCAAACTGAGGGAAAGCATTCCGTAGGGCATTCAAGAACATGAGTGGCGGGAACCCTTCTTGCGTCTCAGACATTTGCTTATACAGATCTCGTAGAGAGGCTGTCAGATCCATCGATGCACCCAGCCCTCCCAGGCCAAATGTGCTGAGATCCGAGAGCCCACCAGAGCCCGTACCGGCGCCGGAGGAGGAACTGTACTTCATAAGTTCTTCCTGAAGTTCAGGCATGCCCTTCAACGTCTGAAGCGTGGCATTCAAGTAACAAGTGTTTCCAAGGTTTTGCAGACCGGCAGGAGTAGCACCATCCGCTCTAGCTGCTTCAGCTTCCGTCATATCCTCCAGGAACTTGATCGCATCCTTCGGCCGTCCGAGAGCGGCCTCGCCTTGGGCTCCGGACGGAGTACCCATCATCATGAAGGTCTGTCCGGGCTTGGCGTTGAGAGAAGAAAGGGGGGTGTCATCCTTAAGCTGACCACCTTTCACCAGGATCTTCTGCCTGTCCGGCTCGACACCAGTCAAAGAGTAGAGCTGGTACTTGAAAGTCTCGCCATTTGACGTCGGGTCGAGCTCGACCTCATGACGTTTGCCTTGGTGCTTGACAATGACTACGCACATGCTGTCAGCAACAGTTGCATTCCACACAAGCTTCTAATACCTCGAAAGACATACCTGGGATCGTCGCCATGGTGAAATTTGGAGTTGAAAGAAGGCAAAGAGCTCATCCTTCGGAGGTTTGGGCAAGATGGTGGCATAAACAAGCGCCACCGCAGCTTACGGCAGCCTGGGCGAGATCGTGGGGCAGCCAATGCAAACAGCACAAACATCCCCGACATCCACGGCGGACACAGCATCATCCAGGACGACGTGTCTTGGAGCACCAGTCTTTGAAGCTTTTATCGGGCAACTCTGTTCTTCATACCTGCATGCAAGGTTGGAGCTCTTCGAGGCTGCTATCCGCTTCTCAGACTTTCGAAGAACCAGTCCAGGGGTCAAGGAATCGTCATCGGTGGTATTGGCCTACTTAAAACAACGGTAGCTACATCGACTTGGAAATACACAAGGCCCCTCTCCTGCGCTGTTCGACATGGTATGTGAAATTGCAATGACAACCACTGCTTCTAGTATATCAATACTGAGCCATTCTTAGTCTCAGTCGCTGCGACCCTACCTTCAATGTGTCCGGTCGTCCCTGACCGCCGCACTCACTGCTTCCAACTTCGCATCGCAGACGTCGGAAAGACACAATGTGCCCGAAATCGAAGCTGCAACCTCTCCAGAGCTTTTGCTGAATCCTCTTACCGTCGCCCGTAATGAGAATGAGAAAGTCCTCATCGAGCCTAGTGTCAACAGTGTCCGAGTTAGCATCCGAATAAAACAGGCAGACGAGATCGAACATATCCTCGTACATAAGTTTACCCGATTCTTGACGCAGCGCGCAGAGTCATTTTTCATCTTGAGACGGAAGCCGGTCAAGGTGTGTTTGATAATTGGTCAAAGCATTGCCACTGTTACTGACTTGCTGCAGGGATACGATATCTCCTTCCTGATCACCAACTTCCACACGGAAGCCATGTTGAAGCACAAGCTGGTGGACTTTATTATTCAGTTCATGGAGGAGGTGGACAAGGAAATTTCAGAGATGAAACTTTTCGTATGTCGCGACCCAATTATCATTGGCGAGCCCAAAGGCCCGATGACGATGTCCATACATTAGACGCTGACTATGTACAGCTGAACGCGCGTGCCCGTTTCGTAGCAGAATCTTTCTTGACTCCGGTACGTATTATCTGTTGCTCAAGGTATAAAATGTCCACTGACTTGCCGCTTGTAGTTTGACTAAGGCGCTGGTTTGCCTTTGTCCGTATTTCCTGGCGAATGAATAATACATGACTTTCAATGTATTTCAGTCACAATTCGTGTACAGTTTTAGGCTGGCATAAAGTTTCCAGCAGGTGCGGCTTCTTCTAGCATCAATCCCCATCCTGTAACCGGAGCCCTGCCTAGGCGAGTCATTCATAGGCCAGATTAGGCGGCACCTACCGATTGGAGAAGGAATCAGCAAGTCGTTATATCTTCGTATTAGCCTTTTTCATCCCTTAAATATCACAACCCCGAGTCTTGACGATCCGACAGTACCCATCCTTCTCGTGACGATGGCCAATCCGTATCCCTTCCTGTATGTCTTTTCTGGTGAGTAGGTGAGCTTTTGAGCATACTGCCATTCCTGTTCCAGATTCGTCTGTTCTCTCATCAAATAGCTGCTTTATTGCGTACAGCATCTTGTGGGTACGGTATCCAAAGGAGTCAATATGGGACATGCATAGTGGCAAGGCAGATACCCTTTTCCGTTATAGTCATTCTGCCTTTGGGCATATTTTGTATCTATACTCTGAAGAAGACATGTTATATTACTCTGGTCTATCTGTACTTCATCTATACTAATCTACTGCTATATGTCATTTCCTATCTCCTTTCAACCGGTGCTTTATAGCTCATGTCTGCTTTATGCTGTTTGAGAAACCTTATGGCCTAGTACTGCTCATTGTTAAGATTCTCATTTACATACATTTTCCTGCTCTCTGCATATTTGTGTCTTTGATGGTTATTATCCTTTATTTGTCTTCTCTGGTTCATATATCTCATCGCCTATTCCAAAGGGGAAGCTTGATTATATCAAGCCACTTTTTGATAAGGGTTGCTTACAGAACTATTCTTAACAACTGATACTGGCTCGGAGATGCTCTCATATTCGTGAACCCTCTCACTATACATCGCTTACTCATATATGAGGCGTCATAGTAGGGTGACGCCGAGATATCTAACGTTACGTTCAGGCAAATCCGTGTTACCTTCAAGGAACAGACTTCTCATGAGACTTTACACGTCAACAGACTTTCTCCTTCCCACGAAAGAATCTCCATTGCACCCTTTCTAGGAGTATTAGCCTCTCTTTTGGTGGAACAGTCACTGTCGTCTGCGACTGGAGCTGAAGACACGCTGCTGTAAGTCTCCTGATCCAAGATCCTGCTGTATGCTTAATATTAGGCTCACTGTGGTCCGAACCTACAGAATTGTCTCGGTGTTGTCAGGAAGGGAATCCTAGAGCCGGGAGCAACCTGTCTTTAGATTGATATGGAGTCTCTGACCGACAAGGCAGACTGGATCTCTAGGCCACGGCCGATGCCGTCCGACACGGCAAGCGAGCCAGGAGACTACTATCTCGGTTCTAGGCCTACCAGACACCCTAGTCACATTGCCGGCCTGCGGTGCAGCCGTACTGTTTGTACGGAGCTGGGCATATCTCCTTATCATTATACTCGTGCTGAATGCTGTGCGGCTATGATTGAGACAGCAGGGAAAGAGTACACATTTCAAAGAATCGATAGCCCTATCACAATTGGGAAATTCGATGCGGAAATATCTAGGAGACGCTTCTCAGATGTAGTTGACAAGAGCCGCCCATATCCCGAAGACTTTGCTATTGGGGAGTCCGCTTCTGAAAGAAGAAAGGGGGATGTCACTGTTCATGGTGAGCATGTTAATGAAAACGGAGAAGATGCCGTTGGTACGCTCACTGGTTCATGTCCAGTATCGAACAACACTGGAAGTGATTCAATGCTTTGGCAGACCCCAACGAGATATCCGCGTGTGAAAGAGACTCCCAGTGATCCTACAGCACCAGAGTCCCCTACCGTTTCCTCTCTCACAAAGCTGTTCAATCTCTACTGCTCCCCCTCTCGACGGTTAGTGACTGGATACAGCATGGATCAGTCTGTCTTGAGAGACGATCCCTTCACCATCCCAGGACGTCCTGCTGCTGCAGCTCCAGCTCCAGTTCCTCCTCCCCCTCCCCCTCCCCGTGCACCACAATTGCCTTCTTACGGAAATCCGTTGCCGCACTCGATCCCACAGAACTTGTACGCTGTGCCTACTCATCATTACATGCCTCCAAACCACATGGCGCCTTATGGTTACATCCAGGGACCATGGGGTATGAACCTTCACCCTACTGCCAATGGAACTCTCTGCGTTCCCTCTGCCGTTGGACCTGTTCCCATGAACCAGCAGTTCCATGCGAGTCTCATGCCGGCTTCCCTGCACCTGTCTCACCCTACTCGCCCTGCGTCAAGTCCTCAGCCGAATATTTACAATATTTTGGAAAGCCCCGCGTCCTTCATCTCATCTGTGGCACCTTCTCAGCAGACTCAGGTGCTTCAGGCCATTGAGCAAACGCAAGCTCCAGAACTCCCTTATCAGAACTTGACTGTCATCGCGCCTCCCAGCGCAGCTAGCGTTGACACTGTCGCGTTTCCAACTGAGATGCCTATTGGCAGTCTTGTCCATTTTCAGGGACCGCCTACTGCAGGTGTTATGAAAATCGGTAATGTAAGTGACTCTTCTCATTCACTTATGTCAAGTCTTGGAAAGTATGTTTCTGATTGGAAGCCCAGATTCCCTACGGGATCACCAAACAGGAAATCATGCAGTTTCTCGGTCGTCAGACCCGTATCTTGCGCGGAGATCCAGGATCTGCTATCCACATCATCATGGAACGTTCTACTGCAAAGACTATGGACTGCTATGTCGAGCTTGAGACACCTGAAGACGTGCAGGACACAGTGACTCGTATCAATCGTGTGCAGGAGCTTGGCCGTCCGCCCCGCCTGGGTGCTCGTCACGTCGATGTCGAGATTAGCAGCCAAGATGTCCTTCTTAAGGAGCTGTTTCCCCGTGCGAAGTGCGTTGTTTGGAGGGGTGGGAGCCCTCAAGTCATGCCGAATACCGACCCCTATTCAACTGGGTTCCAGGGCTTCTTCACTGGAGAGGAAATGGTGGGCATGGTTCGTCATGCAGAGACCCCCCAACGTGTAAGTGCCACTTCATTGCTGCAATAGAATGCTGGCAGTAGTCAGGCATAGCGCTGAACCATCTTATCATCAGTCACCTTTTGCATCAAAGTGCCCTCAGCGCACTTATGAGTGCATGATTAGCACTCTTTATAAGGTGAGCGCGTTTCCCAGAATAGCTTCATACACATGTATTCTCACACAGCTATAGTTCCCATGGTATACTGCAGGGCTCTACACTGTTGATGACCGCAACACCCTGTTCAATGCGTGCCATCGCCAACTGAAGGTGTTGGTGGCTAGAGTCAGACGATCCCGCACTATGGGTCTTGACTACAGACTGGTGCAGGACCTTCTCTTTGCTGGTCTGAACTGTCCCGCTTTCAATGAACGCATGAAATTCACACTTGCTGCCCATTCGGGTCATTGCGGTGATGTCGTTAGATTCCCCAACTCCGGAAAATATTTCCCCTTTGACACGCTGGTCAAGATGCCTGGCTTTGATGAGCCAACCCTCATGGTATATTGTCACTTTCCTTTCACTTGAGGCCTTTTGAACTGATCATTGATCCTTCACTATTAGTACTATGCCCGCCTCATCTCCAAGGGTCTCCTCCGGGAGGATCCAGGTACCGAGGAACTGCCCAACACTTATCCTGCCAATGGTTTCCCGTTTGAATCCCCTTACGGCCACCTCTGGCTCGAGTGGAAGAAGGATATTGCCAAGCGCAAGTCATGGGAAAGTGCCGTTCAGCACGAGATGAACATCCTGACCAACCTGGTCCTGAATGGTTGGGCCAAGGCTGAGCAAGACAGGAGCGGCGGCCACCCGGCTTCCACTCCTGACTCTTTGTCTGGACTTCGTGCAGGCTCAAACAACAGCCGCGCTTCTACCGATGGATCAGGATCGATCATAGTCAACGGTCAGCCGATGCAGCCGACTGCGGTCCCCAGTCTCAGCAGCAGCGGCAGCTCCGTTCGTCGCCCCAGCGAGGTTCTAAACCAGCGCCGTGGTCACCACCACAACGAGACTCGTGCTGAGTTCAACTTCCCAGCGTTTCTGGAAGCCAGTGGATTCGCCTCCCACCGCGGGGATCTGACCATGTCATCTCCTGCTCGTCTCCCACCTCCTATCGAGACCGAATACGAGGAAGGTAGACTGGCCCCCCTGGACCGGGACCCTCGCCATATTCAGGGCCCATACTCCGGCTAGACCTCGATTTCAATTCACTGCTACTTTCCCAGCCAGGCAACAGGTCCGTTCCTGAACCGGAGTCATCCGAGTATCAAATCGGAGATCAGATGATATGGAGGTGTCCGCCAGGACCTTTTCGTCTCTCTAGGTTCCAGTAGCGTAGATTAGTGATCATTTCTCTATTGCCTCTTCAGGAACAGAAAGTGGTTGAAGAACGATTTTTTCATGGCTGCCGCCTTCCCCCGTTTTCCTCTTGGGTTCGTTTCACGTGTGCTGTTTGTTTTGTCTTTCTACCATTTTGACCGTCTCTATCTCCGCCTTTCACGATTACTAGATGTACAAAAGTATGTACATACATCGCAAGGTTGGATTGAATAGCTTTTCTTTATGGAACAAAATACCAAAAAAGGGAGTGAATGTTGACGGTGACGGTCATGGGTGATGACTTGGAATGAAAATGAAAAGTGAGAAGATACCACTTGGTTTGTCTTTACTTGAAAGCAGTTAATTGCGAAAAAAATGGAATGAGCCGCTCGCTAGTCGGGATGACCTGATGCGGAGATTTGTTTTATTCTTACTTCCTTTCCCCCTCCAAGGGGAGACTTTTATTCAGTTCTCTCTCGCAGCAGTTGTAATAGTAGATGGGATCTGGACAATTGGTTTATAGGAGATTTTACTTTACTTCGGATCAGATGCTCAGAGTCAAGAAAAACTAAAAGCGCGCGGGGAGGAAGAGGTCTAACACTTTTCCATCCAAATCCTATCATGCTGGGGTGTATCCCCGTGCGACGCAAAATATATATATCTGCTGGGAGATCTACTCATCGCTTATACATACAATTCTTCTCTCGTGAGCGGGAAATGTTTCTACTCGAAAACAGTTGCGATTTCTTCATCACCAGCTTGATCCAGACCGTCATTTCCTCGTGCTACACCTCTTGCTTCCAACAACGCCTTCTGCCTGGCCAGGCCCTCAGCCCTCTTCCTCTCCCGTCTCGTCGCCTCATCTTCCCACCCCGCAGGCTTTGCCCGTCCTTTTCCTCCCTTCGACAACGAGTTGTCACCCATCGAGACAGAACCTAAATCCAGCAACTTCGTCCGAAACCGCTCTACTCGCTCCGTATTCACGCTGAACCGCTCATTCGCAATCTCGACCAGCATGCGGAGGTATTCTTCCGTGACAAGGCTACGGATGATGGGTGAGGAGTCGTCGTTGCTGCTACTGTCGTCACAATACCCGATGATAGATTCTAGAGATAAGCCTGATGATCGGACCGCGACGATAGGGCTTGTTTCCATATCATCTGACAGGCAGCGGAGGCTTTGGAGACCGCTTTCACGAAACCCGGCGCTGAATGCGGCTGTTAAGATGGGTTGTGCGTGATGGAGAGTGGCGGTCATGATGTGGAGGATCTGGAGATGTAGTTAGTATAGCTGATTTTTTTTTCAAGTTGAGACGATATCGAGACTGGGTTATTGCATGGTGCTAAATGCAGGGTAGAGATAGAACCACGTGAAGAAAATACAAAACAACAAGGGAAAAAAAGCAAATTATCAATTTCTTTTCCAATCCACGCAGTAATCTTCTAACTGAACTATACCAAAGAAGAAGAAAAAAAAACATACCATAGGTTCGAAACGGAAATGAACAAGACGCAGCCCATCCCTCTTCTTCTTCTTCTGATCTGTAGAAGAAGAAGAAGTAAGATTTCCATCTCTAGGAGCCATTCCAAATAGCTCGTGAAACGATCGAGATTCCTCTGAATCTCCCGCCTCTGTCACTTTGACCGGATCATGAGAGACATAGAGCCATCGCCCGCCTCCTTTTCCTCCAGTAGATGCAAATTGGCGCTCTGTATCATCTTCATCTCCCTCCTCCTCATCATCAGTGGTCTTCATATTCGAAGTAGCAGCAGTAATGTTTTTCTTCTGCTTTTCCTTTTTCTTCTTCCGCCCCTCCAGAAACACACTCACTCTACCCGCACAACTGCTCGTGGTAACCAGACCTGACAAGCCATTGATGTTACGAATGAGGTCCCTGATCCCCTCATCGACAGAGCCCTTGGGGGAGAGATCTGTATACTCTGCATCTGGGACGGAGAGTTCCGCAAGGATTTTGCGTTTGCGCGACTCGAAACTCGCGGGGATTTTAGTTGTATTCTGGAGAGGTTGGCTGGCGCCAGGGAGGGTGGGGGTGGCGTGAGTGTTCATTTCATTTCATGTCATATCATATTATTATTGTATTATGTATGGTGATAATAATGATAGTGATAGTAATAAGAATGATCTGTAGTTATTGTTATTATTAGCGCAAATCCAAGGGCTTCTGGATTTTTGGCTGGAGGGGTCGATAGAGATAAAAATGTGGTTTTGTGGGGAAGACGGCGTTCTGATTGGTTAGGGTTCAAGCGCGGCCACTAAATCATTAAACGATCACTTCATTACGCCCGAAAGAGCGCGCCAACTTCATTCTGCGCGTCAAGGCGTGTTCTTTTCATCTGATGTTTGGATTAGAGACCTAGAGGATTACTATATCTATTCTTTCCCTTCCAGACTGCAATTGGTTACTTCTTCTCCTGCGGTGGTCTGCTACTGCTGGGACATCCCCTCGTCGGAAGTAAGCCTAGTGAATTACCCGATTTCGTTCTTCAGACGTGATAGCTACGGCGGGATATAGATTGCGCTAGTTAAGCTCCCTGACGGTGTCGACGCCGGCGCAAGCAGAAAAGAGGGACTCGAGGCTGCCACGCGAAAAGGTCTCCCGCCCCGTAAGTTAATGAGTTACCGGTTCCCTGGTCGCTCCGCGGTCCCTTTGTCCATCTCCCGCACTGGATCCCGTCCAGTGGTCAAGCTTCCTTGTTTTGGCGCATGCCTTTATAACGCTGCGCTCCGCAGTCGACTGTATAGGATTTGGCTATCCGTCCGATCACGGATACTGTAGCTTCGAAGCTTCCAGCCCAGTCGATCGTCACAACGCATCTTAAAACATTGTCATGCCTCGTCGATCGTCGCGGGTGGTGCCCCAGTCAGTTGCGGCTGCCGCGCCGACGCCTAAGAGGCGCCCGTCCGCGCCCCTCGACACTACTGCCGCAGCGTCGAGTTCCAAGAGACAGAAAGCTGGGTCTCCTGCTGCCGGGGAAAGGCCCATCAGGTCCACTGCGAAGACCAGCAAGTATTTCCAGGATTCTGTTTCCGAACGGCCTGGGACCGCAACGGAGTCACAATCAGATTCTGCGCCGGAGGAATCGGGCTCCGCATACAATGTCGAGTCTTCGTCCTCAGAGCAGGATTCCGAGACACCCGACGAGGAGGACGACGCTCCAAAGCAAAGCAAGAAAGGACAGGCAAGGCGCGGATCCGCGAAAGGCAAAAAGCCTGAGGCGCAAACTCATGAGCAAGAAGAAGACGATGAAATTCTGGCCGCCACCAAAGGTAAGGAACTGTGGAGGGAAGGAGTGCGCACTGGACTGGGGCCAGGCAAACAAGTCTTCATCAAAAAGCCCAAGGCCAGAGATCCGGGAAACACGCCTTACCAGGACCAGACGATCCATCCCAACACCATGTTGTTTCTCCAAGACCTGAAGGAGAACAATGAGAGACAATGGCTCAAAGGTAGTTATAAAGAGCATCCCATTATATGTCCGCGACGGATGATCTGACGCTAGAGTGCATAAAGCCCATGATGCGGACTATCGTGCGGCAAAAAAGGACTGGGACTCGTTCGTCGACAGTCTCACTGAAAAAGTCATTGAAAAGGACGAGACAATACCCGAATTGCCTGCCAAGGACTTGGTAAGGGAGTCCCTGCGGCAGATACAATGGTCACCGCGGATATTAATGGGGCACGATCGCGCAGGTCTTTCGCATTCACCGCGACATCAGGTTCAGCAACGATCCAACACCATATAAGGTATGTCTAGTTTACACTTCATTCCCGGGAGGCCGGTACGCCTCGCGCTGCAGCTTCCATGTATTTGATAAGATTCTCGTGGCTGACTAGGCAGGAAGACTCATTTCTCAGCCGCCTGGTGGGTGGTTCTCCTAGAAAACCGCGGCTAATGAAGTTAGCTAAATCGCCCATAGGTCTCGCACCGGGAGGAAAGGGCCCTACGCAGCCTACTATGTCCATCTGCAGCCTGGGTCCTGTTTTGTCGGTATGTAGTCTATAACGGTGTCCACTCAATTCATGAAGTGGGACCATTTAAACCCCAATCTATTCCTGACCCGTACAATGGTCAAGCGTCCAGCTTGGACCCGACAGTATGGGCTTCCGCTTGCTTTCCGCTTCTCCATCCTGCTGCATATATGCGTCGCTTGGGGCGCGAACCGTTTCCTGTCCTGCGGGACGGTCAGGCCGCAGTGACGTATCTAGGGCTGGCGGTCAGAAGAGAGCGCTTGCTGAAGAGCAGCGCACAGTTCCTTTTTTCCTTTCTTTTTTTCCGAAATACGATTCCTGCAGGGCTGACTATTTACGTTCTCTCTTTCCCAGGATCGGGTCTGTGGATGCCAGAAGCTAGCAGGCTCGCGCTCCTCCGCGAGGATATCGATCGAAACCCGCAGCGCATAAAAACGGTGTTGCGAGATGCCGGCATACGTCGGGAGTTCTTTAATGGCATTTCAGACGACGACAGTAGAGCTGTAAAGGCCTTTGTCAGCCAAAACCGCGAGAACGCTCTAAAAACCAAACCGAAGGTCAGTATTCTGTTCCAATTTCGCCCTCGTCCTTGCAGGAGTTCCAGGGGATATCACCAACTGTCACAGCCCCTGTACGTCCACCAAATGCCCTCCATTGTATAATTGCTGCACCGCAGTCCACTCCCTTCAGGATATCTCCAATCTTGTTATCCGCGGATTTGGCATCGCTTCCCGGTTGATGTGGGAAGTGGTCAAGTCTGCCAGTTCGATGTCAGTTCTTCTCCGTGCCTCTCCGTCACGAGAGCGCCTCCCGTTTCCCAGCTCCTTGGGGTATTGCAAGCCTTTCCAGGAACCTTGTTAGCTCAGACTGTATGTCTCGTTAGCTGAGGATGTCATCTTTCCTCATGAGAAGCTGAGAGAGCACATCAAGCTGCCCCCGACGCAGTGGTTGAGGATCTGTCAGGGGTCATGGAGAAGGACCGCATCCCCACGAATCTCTTGCATCATTATCATCCTCAACAGCATCATCATTGTCATCATTATCATCATCATCACCATGATCGAAGAGACTTGTCAGCGTCTTGCACTGGGTGAGGTGGGCGAAAGTTAAGCCTGTTGGCGGTGACAACCGAGCCGCAAACGGCGTCTTTTCGGGTGAAGTTACAGATGGAGGCTTCCCGCTCGCCCCGACCCTGCTGGCCCGATCCCTTCCCGCAACTCAGCGGATGTCTTTCCAGACTCCCCAGTGAATTCTGCTTTTGATTACCCATGGAACTCTGTCAGATGCATTGAAATTGCGTTGAGTTACGCCGTTCTTTTCCAGGTCCACGGTTCATCTACCCCGACGCTATGAAGTCTGCTCCTGGCTGGGCTTGGTACTGACAAACTCTATTCGACGTGGCTCCCAGGGCTACAACCAAGAACACGAAAACATCGAGCTGTTGCGGCTGCGCAACTTTACCATAGGAAAGCCGCTACCAGACGCGGAGCTCTTGAATGCAAACGCACAGGACAAGATCGCAGAGCTCATTGGAATCATGGTCCCGTTTGTAAGTCTTCCAAAGCCGTCGTCCCACGCCGTCCGGTGGTCCCTATGTCTCTGTGTCCGGCCCAGGTCTGTTGAATGATTATTGCACGCCGTCTCAGCTAGTCACTGTAGCTAGTTAACCCCTCCTTCCCATGCCCTCTCATCTCCCGCCCATACCCACAGTCTGGGGCGGTATGTCCGTTGCTGAGAGGCCTCTCGTTGGTCCCAACCGGTTGTTCTACGGTCTTCTTCAGGGATTGACCGTGTCACCGTTTCGTGCTGGCTTGCGTCTTGCCACTTGGCCGACAGTACCCCTCACCGCAGCTTGCTGGAGTTTGGAGTCACAGTTTGTGATGATTATTGCTGATCGCTGGTATCTCGAACAGGTAACTTATCTGAACAGCATAGTCATGCCAGATCCTGACGATGATGAATCGGAAGGTTCAACAGGATCCGACGGGGCTACCGAGGATGTTGATTGAGAAGACAGGACGGCAACTGGACCTTGAAGACCCGCTAACTGCAATAGTTTATATGATATTACTTTTTTTTTTCCAGATTTTTACGACGGATGCAACCCACTCGTATTTCGATATTCTCGGGAAGATCTGACCCGCTGGACCACTTGAACCTTTACTTCTTTTTTAATTTTTTTTTATTTTTGCTTTTTAGCTATCAACCTGGTTCAACTCGGCTTCTGTGGATTACTCTACCGACGTTCGACCATGTAAATATGCGCAGCATGCGTGGCGGTCTCCACAAACTCAGGACGGGAATATCTCCGGCTTCTTCTGCTGCTAGTTGCTCCTGTGCGTTGACTGTCACCCAGGCGGTTACGTTCCTCCCCGCAGGCTTTAGGATATGCATGTGTGTCTGACGCGATAGCTGCTTTTCTCCCAGTAGTCTCCTTACCATTACCGCCAGTTCCGTGTTATGATGGAGTGTCACTGGTGTTAGAGACTGTTTGTTGAGCATAGCGTGGTGGTCCTCGATCTGGATTACCCATTGACCTGCGTACTATGCCATTTGAAGTCGGCACCGTCAACGATGGTTCTAACTCCGCAGCGTTATCGGTCGATCTAAAAGCTAACTATGAGGAATCAAGGGGCCCCATTTCCTACTGCTATGTGGGCAGATCTGTCTGATTATAGATGTTATTCGTCGTCAGGGCCGGCTCTGCTCGCCCTGTTTTTCAGAGGAACAGTCCAGGTAATTCGCGAAATAAAACGCAGGTTGTCGATACAGTCTATCTTTCCATCTCGTATTTACCACTCTTCTGCCGAACGCCGAACTTTCTGCATCAGTGCCCGAAATCAAACCGGGCGGGTCGCTATTGCCTTAGGAACTGGAGGGCTTTCTCTTGCTCCTGTTGTGTTTTAGGGGATGTAGACTAGCATACATGCAGTATGCGAGGCGTTCGATCCTCGTCGATGTCGAACCATTAGATCCTAGGAGATGCCAAGAAACAACAACCGCATTGCTTGAGGGTCACGCTTTATAGTCACCTCCTGATCTAGTTATACCGGTTAGAACCATATTCTACAGTGCACATGCATGATCAAGGATCTCATATCCTTACAAACTATATACTTGTACATTTGTCGCCGTTTTAATTCGTCGGATACTCTCTCCAGGACAACGATACGAGGATACTTTGCTTTTCGTCCTCGAACCGTAGTTGATACGTCGGGGGCTATTATTCCGTCGAAGCAGCAGTGGAAGATAGGCGAAGAGAGTATAACGATCACGCACTTTTCGTTTTTGTGGTATGCAAGTAGAGAGTGCTGTATTTCTCCAGTTAAAAAGAAAAGGAGTTATGAAGTATATACTCGTAATATCTTAATTCCATGAACGGGGACCAACTCACCTACATTTTCAAGAGTCTTCGATATGTGCTAATTAGAAGCTCTATCCCCCCAGATACATATCGCTGAATTACAGAGTTACGAACCTTGACGTTCTTGCTCCGACCCTGGTTCCGTTGTCTTGCGAACACGTGATCTTGAAGAATAACAACAACGTAGAGTAGTTAGTTCGTAGATAACAGTGTTCTTCTACTACTAGTAGTAGTCAGTCCAAACGCTATTGTCATCAGTATGAACCAGCGAAGAGGGAAATCGAAGAAACACAGTTATACTCTGGATGAGAATGCAGATACTAGAGTATAGTAGCTATAATCTAGATCCCTCAACTACAAAATCTCCTCCATTTGACAATAATATCAAGGACTGCATCGAGTAATAATTACTATATAGTTCGCTAAACCTCATATATTATTTCCTATACAAGCTAAACATCAGAACCTCTCTAGATACCTATAATAATAATAATAATAATAATAACCGATCGGCCCTAGTCACTGTCCCCGAATCTATCACGACTGGCAAAGACCAGATCGGCTAAAAAAGCTCCTTAAACTAAAACAAAAGATCATAGTAAACACTAGTGAGATAGATCTACTTACCATTTTGCCATGTTAAGCTGAGGAAAAAGTAACAAGAACAAGGAAATCAAGTAGAACCTTCTTTCCTTTCCTTTCCCCTGGGCCGTACCATAGGGATACCATATACCAGTATGGTATATTCGATGGATGTGCCCACGAACTCACTATTGCTTCTTTTCCCCTCTTAGACTATGGCATGACGTCAAATGGGTCCACTGGGTGTTACGAGTACTGCGACTTCCCGCCGGAAGAGGCGCAGGGGGGCGGAGGTGGGAACAGAAAAAAGAAAGTTAACGAGAAACCGGAATATGATACAGAGCACAGCTAGTGGATTTTACAATCTTGATTATTGAAGACTTGTTTTTTTAGGATATGTTAGGTAGGGATGCTCAATTGATTGATCTGAGCGTTGTTGCATGCTGTCAGATTCTCTATGGAGAAGAAACGAAAAATAGGACACATGCATGATAACCTGGCGAACTATGTAGGTAGAATCTGCGCGGCTCGGGCCGGGTGTGACTACATACCAGTACTATAGGTAGTCAGGTAACACAAAGGATAAGTTGGTAATAATGTAATTAATTTTATGTGCTATGCTATGCTATGCTATGCTATGCTATGCTATGCTATGCTATGCTATGCTATGCTGTGCTGTGCTGCATTTATTAAGGAATGCATGCTAGCCACTGATTTCCTTCGCTGGGATTTTAAACCAAACTGCGGCTTGCATTATGAATTTGATTAGTATGTAATAGTTATACCGACTAGACAAAAGTACCGTGCTTCTGTAGAGTGTGTACTGTATGTATTCGGCGAAACAGTCATAGATGTCCTAGGGAGGTATTATTACGTCTCCGGAACCGCCTAGATCTTTGGTATGTAGCTCAGCCATCTGATTAAAGCTGAACTGCTGTGGCTGGTCGTCGATGGAGCTATAGATCTGATGTATCTTGACAGGATAATGCAAGGGAGATATGTCGTTTGGCCCGTTTAGACATTCGGATACTACAGTAAAACCTGTCTATAACGAATCATTTTTTCCAGGCAGTCTAATTCGTTGTATAGAGGATTCGTTGTATGAAAAGTGGGTCTATATTAGTAATATACGTATTGGTAGTGAAATTTTCTAATAAATTTCCTTAATTGGTAATTTATGATGATGTAATTACTGACTAATAAGGTAAATCTGTACTTTTCTATAACGAATCGTATGGGAAAGGTCTGAAAAAATTAACGAATTTCGTAGTAGGTAGGAATAACGAATTTTGTATGGGAATTTGATTTTGACACGCTGTCAAATTCGTAATCTAGAGGTATTCGTTATACCCGGGTTCGTTATAGGCAGGTTTTACTGTACCTTCGAATTTTCACTATCTAGAGTATCATAGCTCAGTCTTGTTTGCTACCAAGCTGCAATGTTGACAGCTACGAACACGTTCAATAAGCGTGACGGCGGGTGTCATCGTCAAATGTAGTGTGTTTACCTGATAGAAAAGAACCAGATCTAGAACGGCGCAGGGCTAGGAGAGAAAATGCATCGGGGCAGTAATAATGTGATACATTACCTTCGCGATCAGAGTAGGAGCTCCCTTTATTTCCTCCCGCGTTTACTAGGTAGGGGTTGCATCTCAGGGACCCGATCTTCCCGCGTCCACTCCAGAACAAGGGGATAGGGCACGAGACAATCGAGATTCGAGAACGGAAGCGACCCACTTCGCTCGGTTCCGAGAAAACAAGCCATCTCGATAGAGGATTAAATAACAATGTGTCGCTTTGAAGGGATTCGATCCCTGCGCCACATCCCGGGAGACGTGGCTTGATCTCTTACCCGGCGGAAACAGATAGAAAATAATTGTGGCGCACGAGCTACGCTTTCCTGACCCTGGAACCAACGTCCAGGATCAGATAATAGTCCGGTAGTATTACCAGGAAAGGAACTCGACTTTATGATACAGAGCACGGCTTGCTGGTACAGAATCCATCCATATTACGTGGTTGGATTCCTGATACAGCATGCGAAAAAGTGCGATCTTCCCCTGGCATACACGGATGGTATGCGAATGCGCAAACCACTGCACTTTGTATGTACCTATGTCCTTCCAGTCACGCGACGGCCGTACAGTAGTGGTTCATCGAGGAAAAAAGCCGGATGAATGCAGACGCTGTTGTGCATTGGCCACGTCAACAATCAACAAACGAAAGGGGGGTTGGATGGACATGCATACATATTCCGAATCCTGGCACTATACATGCCCTGTCCAGGATATTTACTGAGCATGCATCACTTTTCACAAGATGCCCGAAACCAGGCGGTCATGGCCTGCTGTCATACAGCCACTCGCGCCTTCTGCCGGACCTCCAGAAATAGTGGAGCGCAGACGCGCATGGCCACGCGCGCGCCTGATTGGGGATCTGTGGCCAGGGGACTCTGGCAAGGGGCGATGCCGTTGCGCATGGCTATAGGCCCAGCCCGGTTCCCGTGATCATTAGCGTATGCGGGTCTCAGCGGGAAGCAGGGATCGCCTCAATAAGCCCAGGCTGTCCCGACTCCCGGGGGTGCTCCATGGTTCTGCGGCGGCCACAACGCTGCAGCCTGAAGGTTGGGCCGCCGGACGGCGGTTGAGCCCCGAGCCTTGTGCTGGTGAACCGTGGAAAGAAGCGCTGCTTGTGGGGAAGAAAAACCCCCTCGAGCTGACTGTGCGCCCGTTCATTGGGTGCCGGCGTCGCCGGTGGTGGGCGACGGCGAGGAACGGCCGTCGACGCCATCTGGTCAGAGGCGCCGATTGGGTCCCGAAAAAACGTGGCGGGCAGAAGAGGCTGAGGCTTGGCGGTGTCCGTGGCCGGTTGTGTATATTACTGTATTGGTATTTCGCCGTTTAAATACCAAACCTGTTCCGACGGCTGTACTGTAACAATGGATCGAGTTAGTGAACTACCACGTACCTAGATATACCTGTAGCAGCATCAGTCAAGAGGCCTATAATAACATGCGAGGTTTCTGATTCCAAGTACAGTACATCAGCTGATTATTCCTCGTTG